TTTATGGATTTACTTTTCATAAACCAAAAGAAATAAGAGTTCAGGGTTGTTTTCTTATAATATTTTGTTGAAGGTATTAGTTATGTGGGATTATTTCAAGGCATACATATGAATGAATTTGTAAAACAAATAGAGGTAGTTTCCAGAATGGATAGGTGATTGGTGAAGGTAGATTGATCATAAATGAAGGAAGAGGGGAGACATCAAAAGGAAGTGAAAGATGGAGAAACTTGTATTGGAAGAAGTTGATGAGATCAGCAGAAAGTGGATTAAGCAATATTTATTTTGCTTATATCATGCCTTTAAATCATTTTGTTTATTATGTCTTACCGCTCCCCCTCATGTTATGAATAATACTACCACAAATTATAATAGTGTGATGGTTATTGAGATACAATTCCTTACAATTTGCACCTACCCCTTCCTTTTCCTAAAGCAGTCAAGAAAGGATCATCTGGTCGATCAGAGAATTCTTCTGAGAACCTGGTCATTTCTTCTTTCACAGCTTTGAATCCAGACAGTACTACCACATGGTAAGGTCCAATCCACATGGAGTATATATTTCCATATCGTTTTACATGCTGCCAAGTGAATCAAATATGAGAAATATTACAATCAAATAAAACAGGGTATGTGCAGCTAATATGCTACCAACAGTTATCCTAAATCCTGAATTATGCAATTCTTTGCCCTTTAGAATTCTGTTCTCTCTCTTTAAGATTCCTACCAAGACCTTCTCTATATACTTTTTAAAATTCTCCTGGGATGTTCCCTTCTCTATGTTTCTGCTTGAAATCCACCATCTCCTATCTATTGGCTCCATTCCCCCTTGCAATCCGGCGAGATCCGGCCATGAATGGTGTGAATGAATTTTAATGTTTTTAATGTTTAAATGTTTTTATAATGATTTTAAATGCATTGTGAGCTGCCCTGAGTCTTCGGAGAGGGGCGGCATACAAATTGAATTAATAAATAAATTGAATTGATAAATAAAACTATTTAACACCACCGACAATGCTGCTACCCTTCAAAAAGACCTTTGAGTTTGTGTCGGAATAGTCAAACAATTGGCAACTCCAAATCTCAACCAATAATTGCTCTGTCTTACACATTGGCAAAAGGAATCAGAACACAAAATACAACCTGAGTGGACGCGACCTCGTAGATGACCCTCACTCTGTCAAGGACCTTGGAGTACTCATCTCTAATGATCTAAGTGCCAGAGCCCACTGTAACAACATTGCCAAAAAGGCATTAAGAGTTGTAAACCTAATCTTGCATAGCTTCTTCTCTGGTAAATTATACTATTAACCAGAGCATACAAAACATTTGCTAGACCAATTCTTGAATACAGCTCATCTGTCTGGAACCTGTACTGCATATTGGACATTAATACAATTCAGCGTGTCTAGAAATATTTCACAAGAAGAGTCCTCCACTCCTCTGCTTGTAATAAAATACCTTATGCCACCAGACTTGAAATTCTGGGTTTAGAAAACTTAGAACTACACCGCCTTCAGTATGACCTAAAGATAGCTCATAAAATTATCTGCTACAATGTCCTACCTGTCAATGACTACTTCAGCTTCAACCACAACAATACATGAGCACACAATAGATAAAAACTTAAAGTGAACCGCTCCAAACTCGATTGCAGAAAATATGATTTCAGCAACAGCGTGGTCAATGCCTGGAATGCACTACCTGACTACAGGGAGCCTTAAGACACTGTTGGGGACAGATGTCATCTTCAATAGAGGAGAATAGTGCCTAAATAGAACCTAAATTGTTCTCAGTGATACCATTTGCTCAGTAGGAGCTGGAGAATGGCTCCAGAGAAAGACAGAAAAGCTGAGATAAATGGCTGCAAGTATACCAATTTTTAATGTCCCAAAGGTGCTTTTTCAAAAGACAATTGCACTGCCCTCCCCGAAGACATTTTGCTTCTCATCCAAAAAGCTTCTTCAGCTTCTTCAGTACTAGGACTGATTGGGAATACTTTAATTTGGTTCCTTCCAAAGTCAGGGAATGACTGAGAATCTCCATAGACATTTACCAGATTTTAACTTGGTTTTATTCTTGTTTTTAATTTGTTTTTAATTTATGGCATTTATCTGGCTGTATGGCTTTTATTTGTAAACCGCACAGTCACCTAGATAAAAAGGGCAATCTTTACATTTGATAAATGAATAAAATAAAAACATTAAATTATAAGAATAGAATTTATAACACTAGACCTAATGTTAGCATGACCAGGTAGACCAGACGGGGAACATGACCAGATAATCTAATTCTATTTTATTGTGAAGCTACGTTAATAGAATCTTGCAAGTCTCAAAAAATAGTTCTTCCTCCTGGCTCTTTTACAGTCTGAGAAACTAGGAAGGGTATGTTCTGAGCCTCTTGTCCTGCCACTGTCTAGATCTGGGTTATACTCTCTCTTAACTGTCTGTTCCCTAGGCAGCATTTCTTTACCCCATCTTCCAAAGACTTTCACACATACCATTGCACTTATGGCTCATATAATTGGTTGTATTTGCTGAATTACAATCATTATATGTTCCTTCCTTCCTTCCTTCCTTCCTTCCTTCCTTCCTTCCTTCCTTCCTTCCTTCCTTCCTTCCTTCCTTCCTTCCTTCTGTCAGTGTTCCAGAAAACCCCAATTCTGAGTAAAGACACAGAAGCAAGCATTTTCCAAAGTTCTATTTACTAGAATAGGTAAACTGGCACATCTGGGAAAACCCGAATTTGAGAGGTCCAGGTTTTCCCTCAGTAAATCAAAACCCCCAAAACCATCTCCTCACTCCCCAGTCGATCACATGCTCCAATCAACTTCTGTCCCATCTCGACTCAGCCCCCTGACCACTCCTTCTCCAGATGCTGGATCGCCCTGACCTTGACCGACAGGAAGAATGCTATTATATTTACAGACAACCCCTCTACTAAATCCCCCCTCCTACTTTCCAACACATGAGAAGGTGGCAGCATGGAAGCTTCTGGTCTAATATGGCTTCCAAAGCTGACACCTTCCTTCCTTCCTTCCTTCCTTCCTTCCTTCCTTCCTTCCTTCCTTCCTTCCTTCCGAGCCATGAAGGGCTAACAGGTGTAGAAACACCTTGAATTTTACCTGGAAACCATACTGGCAACATGCCAGTACCTCTAGTAATTTTAGTTCTATTAATGTTCTTCTCAGATAAAGCCCCTGCATCTATTTCTTCAGGTTAATGCTAGTCTTTCCATTTTACTGGATATTGTAACTAGTGATTGTATAATCTCAAAAGCAATATATAAACATTACCATTTTATCATTATAGAATTGCAGAATTAAGAAGGGCCATTTCGGCTATCACATTCGACCTCTTGTCCAGTGCAGGAATACAAAATAAAACATCTTCATTGGGGGATGTCCAGCCTCCAGTTGAGCAGAGTGAAAAGGAAACCACGCTCTCTCTGGAGAAATTGGTTCCATTATCAGTGTTTTATTGGTAAGACTGAACCAGAATCTGCCATCCAAAAATTTACATCCTACCCTATTATTTCACATCCTGCCGTGTGAAACGATGGAAAGCAGGTCTCAGCTTGAATATTCTGGCATGATGAGGAAAATAATCAAGTATCATCACTATCACTTGATTAAATTCCTCATCATGCAAGAATCTTGCCCTAGGTTAATACATTTATCCATAATTATGGTACAAAGAAAATAATTAAAATTATCGTATTTCTGACAGATTGATTTAGAATTAAATACCTTAAGCAAAACATCTCCCTGAAGCCCAAATCCATTAGCCAATAAGGTCCCAATGAAAGGTAGAGCCAAAGGACCGGGAGGCAAATGTCTTCGGGTCCAAAGTTGTCTCAGGAAGAAGAGAATCAGCAGAGCAAGCAGCAAAACGAACAGAATTATCCCTATTGCTATCATTGTCCTTCTGGAACTTTCCCTTTGATGCTTCTAAGTTGATCTTGAGGCGATTGTTTCCTTTTATCTAACACTTTTTGCTTTTCTTCCTGGTTTCTGTACTTAATTGATTGGAAACTAATAGCAATGTGTCTTTCGATGATGTGTGTAATTAGCGCTGGAATTTGGTCAACAAGAGATTGCCACATTCATTCTCATACTTCTGACCATGTGCACCTTAAGTAGCAGAGGAAGATTTTTTTTTTTTTTAAATCAAGGACATGGAGTGGGGTGAGAACAAAAGCAGTTAGAGAAAGAAAGTCATGCATCATCTCTAGAGCCACTTTGGTGAATGAAGCAATTTATACATGAAGTAAATAATTAAATCAATAACAAGCAAGAAGGTGATTGAAGGAGAGAAGAGGGGGATTCTTATCCTTCAGGCATGGACCTGGCACCTAATGAGACATAGCAAGGAAACCAGTATTTTGGTGGTAAGGAATAAAAAGAATAATAAAAATATTGGGCCATAAGGCAAAGCACAAAGAATAGCTAGGTGCTACTCAAGCGACCTGATCTTTATTGGGGTTAATGATGCTTCAGAGTTGGGCAATTGTTCCTGGTAGAGCTTTAGCATGGATTATTTCCAGATGTGGTCATGGATTAGGCAGCTGGATTATTGACATCATTTTTAAGGAGGTATTTCTAAACATCCATAGCTCTCTATCTATAATTTGCTGCTTGAATTTAGGGCACCTTTCTATCAAGAACATCTGCTGCAGAATCCATTACAACAGCCCTTCCTGATTAGCATAGTGGTTACACTTGTTTTAGTGGCAAATGGCTGCACAGCACCAGAGATGGGTCTCAACAGTAGGAGGCCTTCATGAAGACGTTCCCTTATTTGTAAGCAAAGTTGAATGAGGTTTTTTTTTTTATCATGATAATGTTGTGATACTGGCCTTGCAAGGCTAAGTATGAGACATAACCCTGGACTAGATAATATCTTTGTGGCAGAACAAGTTTTTTCTGTATGTTTCATGGATGTATGAAACACCATGATTTTCATCATGATTTCCAAATAATGCTGGCATAGTATCATTTTAGGAACCTATTGGATTATACAGTCCTAGTTCTTTTTTTTAAGAAGACATCTCTTTATTATTTGAGTGACGCAGGGTTAGAGGGAACCTCATTCATATGGATTAATATAACTTGTTGACAAAATGGCAATCAAACATAATCAAAAGATGACTTGCTATTCATTTCCATCAATGAATACATAAAACAGGAGGAAGAGGAAAAAGCATCAGACAAAAGGATACAACTGCCTCCAGATCTACGGTAGTAGTGAGCATCAAAGAAAAACAACTGGCAGAATAATGATGGTGATAGGTATAATTTTGTTGTTTTTGCTGCTTGTTCTGTTGATTCTCTTCTTCCTGAAACAACGCTGGACTCGAAGACATTTGCCTCCTGGTCCTTTGGCTCTGCCACTCCTTGGGACCTTATTGGCAACTGGGCTTTGGCTCCGTGAAGATTACTTCTTTAAGGTATTTAATTCTAACTAGTAGTATGCAAGATAATTGTTCGATTTCTCAATTGTTTTCTTTATACCAAAATTATTGTATAAGTTATCATGCCACAATATACAGATAAGACTTGTTTATAACTGCTTCACTGAGAACAATGTGAAACAATGGGACTGAATTTTTAGAAGGCAGTTTTTACTTCCATCTTACCCATAAATATTTGATAATGGAACCAATTTTTGAGAGAGAGGGTGGGTTCCCCTTCATTTTGTTCAAATGAAGCTAGACATGCTTCTGTTGAAGTATGCTTTGTTCTTTGTTCCTATGGTGGGCAATAAGTAAAACCTTATAACCTAAATGGCCCCACTAATTCTGCAAATTATAATTTAAAATCATAATTTTAAAAAATGTTCTGGGTTTGAGTTCTGAAGAGTAATTTCTATTTTAGATACATTAGATAAGGACTCGTGTAGCTGGTTGGAGAAGACAGGAATAGAACAGTTTTCTCCTAACAGACACTTATATATCTGCTTTGTATGTGGTATACTATGACCTAGATCTGTGATGGTGAACCTATGGCACACGTGCCAGAGGTGGCAAGCAGCGCCCGCTCTGTGGGCACGCGAGCTGTCACCCCAGGTCAGCTCCGCCGTGAATGCGCGTGTGCCTCCCACTAGTCAGCTGGTCTTTAGGTCTCTGCTGTGCATACGTGGGGCAGGGTATGTGTGTAAGGGCCCCATGTGTGCATGCGTGGGACAGGGCATGTGTGTAAGGGCTCCATGTGTGCATGCATGGGGGTTGTTCGCACATGCATGGGGGCTATGCACGCATTGCATTTTGGGTGTTCGGACATGTGTGTGTGCATTTGTGCGTATGCGTGCGAGCTTTGGACACTCAGTCTGGAAAAGGTTAGCCATTACTGACCTAGATATTGGTACTTCTAAAGTCTAATTTAATTGCATCTCCACTTCCAGCATGTTCTCCAGCTCCATGTTCTCTTAGCACTGTAACATACTTTTGCCTAGGAAAGAAAATTGTATCCTTTACCTGGATTCCACTATAGCAGTGTTTCTCAACCTTGGTAGCTTGAAGATGGGTGGACTTCAACTCCCAGAATCCCCCAGCCAGCACTGCAGAATCCTGGGGGATTCTGGGAGTTGAAGTCAACCCATCTTTAAGCTACCAAGGATGAGAAACACTGCACTATAGTGTTGGAGCATTCACAACCTCTGGAGGTAAATTGTTCCACTGGTTGATTGTTCTCATTGTTAGGAAATTTGTCTTTAGTTCTAGTTGTTTTTTTCCTTGGTTAGTTATAAACAAAATAAATAGAAGGATGTGTTTTCTTAGAAAAATAATTCAGAAAATCAGAAAGAAATTCTCAGCAGGAATCTTAGATAGAGAAAAAAGAATTCTAAAGAGAGAATTGCATATGGTGAACATCTTAGAATTCAGGATTTAAGAACACCCGTAGATGGCATCTAGCATTAAATGGGAATAATCCTATATTTGGTTATAACACGTCTCATCTTTGATTGACTCGACAGCCTGTTAAACGATATGGAAATATTTACTCCTTGTGGTACGGGCGACAACTTATGATAATTCTCTCTGGATTCAAAGCTGTGAAAGAAGGAATGACCACCTTCCTAGAAGAATTCTCAGTTCGAGTAGAGACTGCTTTCTTGGATGAATTTGGGAAAGGAAGGGGTAAGTCCAAATAATTGTTATTGTAATAATAATAATAATAATAATAATAATAATAATAATAATAATAATTTACCATTATTTATTATTATTAACCATCAAACTCTTCCCATTTGTCGTAATATTATGCATAGCATAAGAAGAAAAAGACATAGTAAACAAAATGATTTACTGGCATGAGACAAGCAAAAGAAACCAGTTCTCTGCCCTAAGACTGGCTGTGTGGTTGTGGCTGGGTGGTCATGTGACTGGGTGGGTGTGGCCAATTTGATATCACTCATGTGGGTAGTGCCTGTATGGGCCAGGGGAGGTTGGGGAGGGAATCCAGGGGTCTCCGGTGGATGTGGGGGGTGGGAGCGGGAGGAAAGAAAGAAAGAGGAAAAGATCCCTGCCGGCAAGGCATTGAAACTGATGTTCCCAAACACCTCGCCCCATTGCAAATATGGCATGCCGTTTGGGTGGGAAATGCCTGGAATTGGTTGGCTAATGGCGTGAGAGGAGAGGCGGAGAAGCAGGAGGGGTGCTGAGCCGAGCGGATAGTAGCCCTCTGAAAGAAGGGGGCTGAGGGAAAGTGCATGGGCTACGGCATGCTGTGGAGGGCTGTCGCTCATCCCTTTGCTTGGCTCCACGTGCCGTCTCCTCAGCGCTCCCTCCCTCGCTCATGCTCTACCTCTCCAGTCTAGCTTGATGCAGGCGGCAGCTCACAAATTGCCCTTTGCAAGCCCACTGTTGGTGAAGCTGGGCGCCGGTGAGGACTGTGTCAGCTTTGGAAGCCATATTAGGCTGGAAGCATGTGATCGACTGAGGTCTGAGGAGATGGTTTTGAGGGTATTGATTTACTGAGGGAAAACCCGGACCTCTCAGATTCGGGTTTTCCCAGATTACCTATTCTAGTAAACAGAACTTTGAAAATGCTTGTTTCAGAGTCTTTGCTTGGAGTTGGGGAGTTTTCTGGAATGCTGACAGACTGGCTTCTTGCATATGTTTGTCAAGCTGTGGGGTGGAAAATGATGATTAGAGCTGGCCAGGACAGAATAACTTACCAGCAGTTGGTGCAGTTCCCCATTACCTGATAAGTATTTCATGGGTCATAGAGGTTGGATTTCTAGTAGCCTTGGTCTCAGGCTGTTGACAACAATAATTGGTGGCAGATATTAGAGATGTCCTCCAGACATGATATCATGGACGATGAATAAACTATTTGAGCACATTTTACTGGGCAATGTAAGGGTTAGGTTTTGTAGTTTCATGTACAAAAAGCTGTAGATGGGTCCAATGTTACTTAGGAATTATAATCCCTATGGCAACCATGAGCTTCCCCCTGGTTATCTCACCCAATTGGCAGTTACATAATAGACTTAATGTTTACCTCAGAAGAAATGGCGCATGATCTGGAAATGGAGGACATTGTCATCAGCGGTTACTTTTTTTTTGAAAATAAATTTTAATTGGAGTATAAATATTAAAAAAAACATAGCATGACATATACACAACAAACATTTATACAACATATAAACAAAAAGAAATTATGTTTCCTTCTTAAGCATTGTTTCAAAGTGACATTCTACTTGTTATATATTTCTTCACCTCTCCTTAGTGTAATGACATTTTCTATACCGGCAATATTTCCCCTCTAGGTTACTCTAGCGGTTACTTTTTTTTTTTTGGTTGGGTTACCGGACTACTGAAACTAAAGCCCATAAAAGCAAGTTAAAATATTTTAGTCAATCTTTGGCACATAAATGTAATAGGAACTTGATTAAACTAGGCGAATAAAAAAGCCATTTGCCTATTTTGGTGGTTGATTTCAACGTGTTTTTTTTTTTTTTTAATTTGATTTATATGCCGCCCTTCTCTGGAGACTCAGGGCGGCTTACAATGCATTAAGCAATAGCCTTCATACTTTTGTATATTTATACATAGTCAGCTTATTGCCCCCACAAACTGTGTCCTCATTTCACCTACCTTAGAAAGGATGGAAGGCTGAGTCAACCTTGAGCCTTGGAGAGATTCAAACCAGCAGTAATTGCAGGCAGCTGTGTTAATAACAGGGTGCTTAGACCACTATACTATCAAGGCTTCCCACGTTGTGGGAAGAAGGTGCAGATTCTCCCTGAGAAGATCCTGTCTCTGGTGCCTATAACAGAAGTTCTTGTACATGAATAATTACACATCTTAGAAGGTTTTGATGTCCATCATATATGACAGAGGTTGGCAAGCACTGTATCTGTGGTCACCACAGCACTTATGTCTCCTAGTGTCCATGTGAATCCCAAAATAAATAAATATTTTGTAAAGAAAAAATAACATGTCCAGAATTTTACAAAAATGTCAACATGTCACGAGGTTTTGGTATTCCCACCTGAAATTCAGAAAGATGTTTGGCAAGAACTGGACATCACTGTTTTTTTTAACACAAAGGTAATCAGGAATCATTTAACACTGTCTGCTGATGCCCTCAGGAATTATTCTTTCCAATGGCCACACCTGGAAACAGCAGCGACGTATTGGCATCACTTCTCTGCGGAAGCTGGGCCTGGGAAAGAAAAGCATTGAGCATCAAATAGAAGACGTGGCTCAGACATTGGTGGAGATCTTTAGACAAACAAAAGGTATGTCATTTAGGGTAACAACTCAAATCCCCATCTGCCAAAATCTTTTCCTTTCTGAGTATTTTAAATAAAAATAGATGCATTCAATTGGTGTGTGTTTTTTTTTAAAAAAAACCAGACAGTTCCCATTTCTCTTCCTTCACCCCCTGCCAGTCTCCCAAATTGATTAGACAGGGGAAATGACAAGATGAATTAATTCTATTTTATTGTAAGGCTACATTAACAGAGTCTTGCAAGTTTGAAAATACAAATCTCCTAAAGTTTGTTTTTACTGCCTGATAGGTTTAGATGGGATCCTTTTGAAGTTTCCTTTTCTTCTCATTTTTTTTTAATTTGATTTATATGCCGCCCTTCTCCGGAGACTCAGGGCGGCTTACAATGTGTTAAGCAATAGCCTTCATACTTTTGTATATTTTATACAAAGTCAGCTTATTGCTGATTACTCAGTTTGGGCTCCTCCCCACTTTATCTAATTCATTATGAAATATCTTTCATTGCAGGGCAGCCATTTGACCCTTCGTTTTCAGTACTAAATGCAATTTCTAATGTCATATGCGCTTTGAGCTTTGGACGTCCATTTGATCTTGAAGATGAAAATTTCCAGAAGCTGGTTCAAGCCCTTACAATTATTTTGGATTTTATTGGTGACTCTTTTCATGTGGTGAGTCATGTTTTCTACTAAGGAAACAAACTATGGTACCGCCAGTATTTTCATAGAACCCTAGAATGGACAGCATAGAGGAAGTTTCTTTTTTCATGTGTGTGTATGTCTGTGTGTGTGTCCTTCAATGAGTCTTGACTCTTGGTGAGAGCCTGGAGAAGTTTCCACAGATTTCTTGTCAAGATTTTGGAAGTGGTTTAGCATTGGTCACTACCTAAATTTTGACTCAAGGTCACCATGTCGACTTAATGCCTGCTTAGCACTAGAATTTACTACCTCCCAGTTTCTAGGCTGGTGTCTTTACCACTACACCAAAGTCATTCTCCCCATGGAGGAATACATCATTTCAGTATCAGGAGCAGATGGCCATCCACCCCAGGTCTAAACACCTCTAGCAAAGGATAGTCTACCACTTCATGGGTCAGTCCATCATTGAACGGTTCTTCATATTTTTTTCTTCATACACGACCAACATCTACTTTCCTATTATTTAAGCCTTTTGTTTCTGCCAAGTCTTCTGGAATAATTCTGAACTATCCTGCCTCTCTTCTGCATATGGCAAGTATTTGTCCCCTGATGGTCTTCTTTTTCTCCTGGCTGAACATACCTACTGCTTCAACCTTTGTTACTGGTTTGCAATTGTGAGAGTGTGCTTTCCGTGCACACGCAGAGCGTCAAAAACGGGATGTGATTACATCCGGGTGGGTGGGCGGAGCCTCCTGCAGCCACCGCTACCAGTTTGCCCAAACTGGATAGAACCAGCTGAATACCACCACTCTACTGCTTCCAATTCTTCCTTTTTTTTTTTTAATTTGATTTATATGCCGCCCTTCTCCGAAGACTCAGGGCGGCTTACAATGTGCTCAGCAATAGCCTTCATCCTTTTGTATATTTATACAAAGTCAGCTTATCGCCCCCACAAACTGGGTCCTCATTTCACCTACCTTAGAAAGGATGGAAGGCTGAGTCAACCTTGAGCCTTGGCGAGATGCGAACCCTGCAGTAATTGCAGGCAGCTGGTCTTAATAAGCTTAATAACAGGGTGCCTTAAACCCCTGTACTACCAAGGCTCTTTTAAGTTTTTCCTCCCAGGACCCTTATCATGTCAGCTCTTCTCTCCCAAAATGCACTTCAATTTGTAAAGCTGTTTCTAAAGCACAAGGTAGAGATCTAGAAGCAATATTCTAGTGGTGTCTAAATAATGAGAAATAAAGAGGAAGAATGATTTCTCTGGATCTGGATACTAGATTTCTGCTGATCTACTCTAAAATCTATACAGATAGCCTGTCGACTCTGAAGCTAGCCTGACTGAGGCCATCTTGGAGGCTTCAGTGCTGCCACAATGGTATAAAGCTTTTATATCCCTTGGATTTTTCCTACTCGTGTGTAAGATTTTGCATGGGTCCTTTCAAAATTCTCCCATTCTCTAAGACATTTTCTTATCCTTGAGGCCACCCATATTTTTTTTGTCATTTCAGAAAGAGAGAGAGAATAATGTAAGGCCCAGAATGCAACCTTATGATAAACCTCACAACACCTCATTATAGCCTGAAGCAGAGCAAGTCATACAGTAGGTCCTCATTGGGTACTATTGTTTAGTCACCTCTGTCCCAATGTGCAACCAATATTTCACCATGTTTTCTATTATTATCTCATGTGAAAAATGGTTAAATATTTGGCTGAATTCAGCATACACTAAGGAGAGAGAGGGAGGGAGGGAGGGAGGGAGGGAGAGAGAGAGAGAGAGAGAGAGGAGGGGGAGGGAGGGATGGATGGAGGGTGAGTGGGTGGGTGGATGGGTGGTACTACTGGTTCTGTGGGCATGGCTTGGTGGGTGTGGCTTAGTGGGCATGGCAGGGGAAGGATACTGTAAAATCTCCATTCCCACTCCATTACTGCAAAATCCCCATTTCCTCCCGATCAGCTGGGACTCAGAAGGCAAACAATAGATGCAGGTGGGGCCAGTCAGAGGTGGTATTTATTGGTTCTCAGAACTACTCAAAATTTCCGCTACCGGTTCTCCAGAACTGGTCAGAACCTGCTGAATACCACCTCTGGTGAAAGGGCTTTCTTTTCTATTCACACAAACAAGCAGACAAGCAGTGGGTTGGACTAGAAGACCACCAAGGTCCCTTCCAGCTCTATTCTATTCTAAATTCTAAAAGCAACTCTGTGTGGGTCTGCATTGGGACAATTGCCCAATACAGTATCTTGGAATAGCATTCAACATTCCCTTTTCCCATGAATCTATAGCTTGACTATTTCAGTCTAATAGCTTGGAATATCCCTCTCAAGCTTCCAACAGCTTGAGTCCATAGTCATTGCTATCCTACTATCAAGAGCCAAGGAAATCAGGACATCCAAATGTTCAAATGAGTATACATTTTTATTGCAAGCTTAAACTCTCTACGAGAATCTGAGCTACTAACGGCCTAGGGAAATTTGCAGGCGTTGAGAAAGGCATTCAAAGCATTATCTTGTGGGCATGCAGGGACTCATGATTTATGATGTGTTTGACCCTTCCCTGCTTTAGTTATGGCAGGGAATAAATAACTTTTCTCTTTTTCTGTTAGATGTATGATTTGTTTCCACAATTAATGAAGTACCTCCCAGGCCCTCACAAGAAAACCCTGGCTTCTGTGGATATTATCCATGCATTTGCAAAGCAGGAAATAGAGAAACACAAGGAATCCCACTGTCTGCATGAGCCACAAGATTTCATTGATTACTATCTTCTTCAGATGGAGAAGGTATGGATTTATTGTGATTCAATACACAGGCAAGGAATTATTATATTCCTTGCTGTAAATAAACAGGCAGAGCTACTGATAACGTATTCCTTCATCTTGGATTTTTCTTTCTTTCTTATTCAGCTCCAATTGTGAATATATCCCAGTGGTGGGTTGCTACTGGTTCTACCAGGATCGGTGAACTGGTAGCAGCAACAGCATGAGGCTCCGCCCACCCACGCTGTACGCTTCTGCACATGTGCAGAAGCATCATGTGCGTGAGTGTGCATGCATGCACGAGCGAATCAGTAGTGACGGGTTTTGCAACCCACTACTGATATATCATCCCATGCTTTGAAATGAGAACTATATTGTTTGTCTCCTTCTGTTAGGCATGGAAGGTGTGGGGAAAAGAGAAATCAATGGCTTCTGTTTGTTAGTCTCCCTTATTCCTCTGCCACTCTTTTTTCTAAAGAAGTTCCATTACGAAGGAAAAAGTATTAATAGGGTATGGATTTTGATAAATTCATACTTAATCCCTGCAAAGATTGGGAAAGGACAGATACTTTCATAGCCTTGACCATAAGTAAAAATGTAAATTATTTTAAAACAAGGAAAAAAAGGTCATCCTTTCCAATGTTTTGCGGGAAAAGACCCAGAATGATTTTTTAGAAGTAATTTATCAACTTGTGTTCAGTTTAGCATTGTACACGAAAATATTCCATAGGGCAGGGACCACAGCAGGAAAGGATCTTCTCCCGGAACTTTTTTGGCAGATGAGATCTGAAGTGGGCTTCTTCTGCTGGATTGAGTGGGATAGGATGATTAGATCATCTCTAATGATGTAAGTGCCAGAGTTCACTGTAACAGCATTGCCAAAAAAGCATGAAGAGTTGTTAACCTAATCTTGCAAAGCTTCTTCTCCGGTAATATTGTATTGCAAACTAGGGAATATAAAACCTTTGCTAGACCAATCCTTGAATACAGCTCATCTGTCTGGAACCTCTGCTCACAACAGAATACCTTATGCCACCGGACTTGAAATTTTGGGCTTAGACAACTTAGAACTACGTTGCCTTTGGTCCAATTTAAGCGTAGTACACAAAATTATCTGCTACAATGTCCTACCTGTCGATGACTACTTCAGCTTCAACCGCAATAATATATAAGCACGCAATAGATACAAACTTAATGTAAACTGCTCCAAACTCAAAACTGAATGCAATATTCCAAATGTGGCCTTACCAAGGCCTTATAAAGTGGTATTAACACTTCATGTGATCTTGATTCTATCCCTCTGTTTATGCAGCCTACAACTGTGTTGGCTTTTAACACAGTTCTTAACAACTGCATGATTCACTGTCTTCTGGTGCTTTGACCCCCCTCTTCTCTGTGGCAACCCCTCAAATATCGGAAGACTGCTATCATGTCCCCCCTGGTCCAAATTGGATTGCAGAAAATACAACTTCAGCAACAGAGTAGTCAATGCCTAGAATGCACTACCTGACTCTGTGGTTTCTTCCCCAAATCCCCAAAACTTTAACCTTAGACTATCTACTGTTGACCTCACCCCGTTCTTAAGAGGTCTGTAGGGAGCATGCATAAGTACATCAATGTACCTACCATCCCTGTCCTACTGTCCTCATTTATTCATACCCATTTGCTATGTTCATAATCATGTTTATACTTATATCTGCTATCTTATACATGCTTGACAAATAAAATTAAATAAATAAATAAATAAATAAATAAATAAATAAATAAATAGGGAAATCTCATCAGGGTGAGTTGTCTCCTTAGATACCCTGGATGCAACACCTTGAATTGGACCTGGAAGCAAACTGGCAATCAGTGCAACTTATACAACAGTGGTGTTACATGGGCCACCTGAGTGGCCTCAGGGACTGTCCATACCGCTGCATTCTATACCGTTATCTCATCCAAATACTCTTCAAGGGTAGCCCCACGTAGAACATGTTCCAGTAATCCAACCAAGAGATGTCCAGGGCATGAGTGACTGCATGGGCCTCACGATCCAGGAAAAGGCACCACGTGAAGTTGCACAAAGATTCTCCTAGCTATGGCTGCCACCTCTTGTTTGAGCAGGAGTTGTAAATCTAGGAGAACCCCCAGAAACAAAAATAACCACAGGAAAACTACTTAGAATTCCTTATAATTTTCATTTCCCATTTGAAATATCAGAGCAGGAATGACCCCGACTCTACCTACAGTGACGAGAACCTGGCTCAGTGTATTTTTGATTTCTTTACTGCTGGAACAGACACAACCTATACTACTATGATGTGGGTACTGCTCCTCCTGACAAATCGTCCCGACACCCAAGGTGAGCGAAATCTGGGCTGTGGGAACAAGGGCCAGTTTCAGGTTCTAGAACACAGAAGTTTTATTTGAAGGTATTTGAAATATTAAGGGCCGTTGAATGATGAACAGAATCTATTCTTCATGGTAATTTTCCTATTTGAATTCCTGAACCTAAAAGTGGGAATATGAGCTTAGTAAGATTAAAGGAAAGCATATATTGTACATACAGAGAGCCTTCTCTGATATCAATAAAATATTGTGCGAGGAACTAAAAACTAGAAATCAGTACAATGTAAAACAATTGCGCACATTTTAACTGCAGAAATCTACCAAAGTTTTTAGATTTGTTTTTCATTTGCAGCCTAAATTGCATGTAGAAAACCAAATTAGAGTATGATAATGAACATATAAATTTTGAAAAAAATTGATCCAGATTAGTTTCAAAACAATTATTTATTGCTTCTTAAAATTTAACCAGATTTCCAAACTGGTTGGAATTCAAATCAGGAGATTGACTTGTCTGAGGAGAGTCATTGGAATCTTTGAATTAAATCACCAATTTACCTCAATATTCTCAATCAGTTTGGATTGGATCTAGTCCTGTTCCAGACACCTTAATATGGCACTCCACCATGACCCTCAAAAGGAGGATGGGGTTCATTAGAAGGTTAGCCTAAATCCCAATGTACGAATGAATAAATAAATATGTGAAAAACAATACTGAAAGCTAAATTTGTAGCAGGATCCAATCTGGGTGGGTCACCAGGACCAGAGGTTTACTCTTCTGAGCTTTTGGACTCATGCTGGAGCCCATCCACAGGGAGTTTCTCTCTAGCAAGTGTGTTGTCTCCATTCTGGTAGAGAGAAGCCTCCTGCACCACGGTGGGAGAGGGGCATTTTTGGCCTCCTCAGGCTCCGGAGTCTTTCCTCGAGTCTTTGGGAGGGTGAAAACGGCCTCCCCAGGCTCCGGAGGCCCTCTGGAGGCTGGAAACGGGCCCGATTCCAGCCTTCCTGAACTTCCAGTAGGCTCATTTTTTGCCGTCCCTGAGCCTGCACTTACCTGCATCCAAAACGGGGCACATGGGGACTCCTGGTAGGGGCGGGGTGGGTGGGGCCAGCCAGGAGTGGCATTTGTGGGTTCTCTGAACTGCACAGTATCTTAGCTAGAGGTTCTCCCAAACCCCTGTGAACTCCCAGCAGCCCACCACTGCTCTGTGACTGACCCAGATTGGATTCTGCAACATTAACCTGGGACACATACATTTGTCTTCATTCACTAAGTTTGCATTGCCTTAATTTTTTCCTAGAGAGAGTGCAGAGGGAGATTAAAGATGTTTTTGGATTGTCATCTAATGCTCTAAAGACTATTCTACATCCTAAAAGTATTACTGAGGACAGTATTAATAGATGGTTATTACTGCTAATGCATAATTTTTATAAGAACGTGAGATCCAAAGTTCAGGACACAAGGCCACCATGCCAACAGGATCCCAACTCGGAGAGGAGTGAGGCAGGGGTGTATTTTAATCCTCTGTTGTTTAATGTATATATTAATCCACTTGAGGCTAAATTGAATTGATTAGATCACCCTCCAAAGTCAATAAAAAGGCATATTACAAATTTATTGTATACAGATGACATTGTACTTTCCCACAAACATTATTCGGATTCATATGAGCCTTGAATGCCCTGACCAGCTATATTGCTGAATTAACTATTCTTTCCCACAACTTTGAGCTTTTTTCTTACAGAGGATAACTATAAACCAATAAAGATTAGAACTATTTCATAAAAACTCCAGGTTCGAGACCCGAGCACTGTATGACAGGGTGAGCTCCCATTACTTGCTCCAGCTCCTGCCCACCTAGCAGTTTGAGAGCAAGCAAAGGAGAGTAGATAAATAGATACCACTTTGGTGGGTAGGTAACAGCATTCTGTGAGCCTCGGTCAGTGGTAGGAGTCAGCCAGTTCGCACCACTTTGGGAGAACTGGTTGTTAACTTTCTGAACAGTTTGGCAAACTGGTTGTTGGAAAAAATCATTAGGGCAGAGAACCGGTTGTTAAATTACTTGAATCCCACCACTGGCCTCAGTGTATAGTCATGCTGGCCACATGACCATGGAAATGTTTTCAGACAATGCTGGCTCCCTCGACTAAGAAACAGAGATGAGCACTGCCCCCTAGAGTCAGACATGACTGGATAGGAGAAACCTTGATCATTACACTTTATGAGCTGCCATTGTGCCCCCGTGGACAAGGGGCCACTGAAACTACAGTTCAGGCCCTGTTATATTATTCCCTCTAGTCTATAAGGATTCTACATTCTTTTTTAAACTCCTTACCTGGTAATACATTCTGGGAAATTCTCATCTCTGTTACGTACAGGTGTTACTAGTGGATCAGTATGACACCGTTTCTTTGAATGTAGATAAACTCTTGTGTAAAAAGGTAAAATGAGGCCACCTTGATGATCTCACCATAAATTGAAATGTACTATTGTGTCATGTTCTGTTTAATTGTTTTAAAAGTTTTAATTTTTAACTCTGGTCTGTGCCCATAATAAAGGATTGATTGATACTTCTGAGGATTAAAATTGGGAAATGAATGAATAAACGAACAAAGGAATAAAAAAACACAATACTGAACATGAAGTTTCTGTTTTCATTATTGTTTTCTAGAGAAAGTCCAGAAAGAGATTGAAGATGTGTTTGGTTCCTCGGGCTCAATTTCCTACCAGGATCGGAAGAAAGTGCCCTACACCAATGCCGTGATTCATGAAATGCAGCGTTTAAAATATGTCTTGCTATACGGAGTTCCCAGGCAAAGCACAAAGGATGTGATGATGAGGGGATATCACATTCCAAAGGTGGGAAATATGTTCAGGATGCATTGCAGTAGCCCAACATGGAAGGAAAAAGAGAATAGGACACTTCGAAGGTCTCTGTTCAGGAAGTGCCAATTAGTCGTGCAAAACTGAATAAGCAAGAATAGCAAAAACTTTTCCCCCCAAGTTTTTTATCTTTTATTTTTTATAAATGTATCAAATCAATATGTGAACAGTGTGGCACCTTGGTGTCATACATTCTAATACAAATAAAACTAATAAAGTTAATCATAATTATTACATTCAATCAACTTATATATTTCTAGTAAATAATATGGATTTCTCTTAGGTTGCAATCTTTCATTGTTCAATTGTTCCACTTTTTCTCTTGTTATTGCTTTCATTTTATTATATAAAAATGTATACATTGATATTCCCCCTTCTCTTATTTCTATCACCTATTCTAGCTTTATTAAAACACTTTTCCTCTCTTTCCTTTCTGACTTCTAATCATGTCACCTACCTAAAAAAAAAAAAGAGAGAGAGAGAGAGAGAAGTAAACAATATCAGAGGTTATCAAAAGCCTCTTTGCGTCCCCTTTACAGATTCAATCTTCTAGTATAACATTCAAATATCTCCTTAATTAAATAGCTTCCTCATTTTCATATTTAAGTCTCCAGAAGTCATGGGGTAATTAAAGGTAATCCAATGTTTACACTTTCTTTCGCATAGGTATTTCCAAATTTGTAATTTTTCCTTTCGTCAGCAGGTGGCACTCTGCACTTAAATTTCAATTTACTAGTCAATCTACATTTGATTGTAAAACAGTTTTAAAAATAGAATAGGCTTTGTAGGTAAATAATTCCAGCATTTTCAAATTCAAGTGAAAAAGCAATGCTGATTTTTTAAACCCATAGTTCCAGCATTTTAGAATGCCTGTATTTTTAAAGAATAAATTGTTTCCTCTCTCTTTAAATCTCCTCCTTCCAATTGCTAATCACTTTCCAAAGTGCTTGTTCACCATTTATCAGATAGATCTAAATTAATAGTTCCTCCCCATTTCTTTGGGGTTAAAATTTGAATAGAAAGAATTATTCTCACCCAGTTCACACACTGTTCCCCAATGTCCATTCCTGCACTTTGCTTAGATGGGCATCTGCTATCCCAGCTTTGTGGCAGCCATCTTAGGCTGTCTCTTCTTCCCATCGTGGCATAGAGGGAGAAAAGAAAAGCCCTGGATTTTGGCAGAAGAGTTGCATTCTCTCCTGCAACCTCACAGGGTGCCCCTCCTTAGCTTTGCTGCCCCCACAAGGCAGCTTTGGTTCAGAGCCCACTAACAGGGAGAAGCCAGCACAGGAATGGAGAGCTTGTGACTGGTATCGTGGGAAGCTCCACTCCTCTCAAGAATAGCAAAAACTTTTGAAGGATGAATTATGGATTTAAATCCAAACACCTCTCTGATTTTAAAATTACAACCGTAAACATTTTATTTTCATCCTAGGAAGACGATAAGAATTTAGGGGTTGAATTTGAGAGCAGAACTGTAGTCATGTATAGCCATGTTTCTTTGTCCCCTTCTTCAAGAGACAAGGTGACATTAGTTAAGAGAAAGGAAGCTAAGCTGTTGAGCAGCCCCTGCTCTCAGAAACTGCTCTGAGAAACGAACAAACATGGATCCGTAAAGGCAAGCTATGAGCAAGGGTTTCATCAATATTGTTTAAACTTCTTTGCCTCTTTCCTTTATGAAACTGTTCTTTTTAATTGTCTTTTTTTTAAAAAACAGGGGACCGTTATTGTCCCAGACTTGCGCTCTGTTCTTCTTGATCCTGAGCAATGGGAGACACCTGAAGAATTCAATCCAAATCATTTTTTAGATAAGGATGGGAAGTTCATTGAACGGGAAGAGTTTCTGCCCTTCGGAATAGGTAAATCCTTGAGCCCAAAGCAGCTCACTTCTTATTTCATGTAGTTTTATATTAAATTTATATTCCACGCATCTCCTTAGCAAGGGATTCTGGGCAGTTTACAACTTACGGATTCCCACCACCACATTACCTGAGTTGTTCTGTTGATGCTCTAAGTAGGAAATCAAGGAATCCTTATTTCTTCTAGTAGTTGGGGCAGATCCTGAACTAATCCGGAACTGACAAGATTAGCATGAATATTTAAGTCCCTAGCCAAAAAATGGTCAAATGCAGTCTAATTACTCTGAGGAGGGCAGGAGGAAAGGATGTTTTGCCAAGTATTATTCTCACTTTCGTCCAGACAGCCAGATGGAGCAAGCAAAGAATAAGAAGAATAGGTGTGTGATCAGTGAAAATGGAATTCTTATAGATTATGTCCATACCTCCTTCCTCTACTCCAGCTGTAGCCTGATGCACTGTAAAAGAAGTTGCTGGACAGAAGGTGAGAAAGTGACTTCCCTCTTGTAGGCCAATCTTTGGAAAAATATGCCAGATCATGGATGCATAGCTTTGCCTTTGAAATGGTACACCATCTACCATGTTTCCCTGAAAATAAGACCCTGCCTTATATTTTTTTGAACCCTGAAATAAGTGCTTGGCCTTATTGCCATGCGCTCAAAAGCCTGATTGGACTTATTATCAGGAGATGTCTTATTTTGGGGGAAACAGGGTAGTTCGACCTGAGTTAAAGTCACCCCTCTGATAGGTATCAACAGAGTTAAATGGGAGAAAACATCACTAAGAATGGAATCTGCTGGAAGATACTAGGATTCAGCATGGAAATTTATTTTGGCTGTTATCAAATGTTTCAGATTTCCTTGCTGATGGGGTACACCAGTGGTGGGTTCCTCCTGGTTCCGCCCGGTTCCGCCAAGCTGGTAGCAGTGACGATATGATGTCACCGAACCGGTTCTGCCCCCCCACTGCCCCCCGCCCCCACGTTATTCTTACCTTTTATTTGGCCCCACCCCCAATCTATTGCTGCCTCCTGAGTCCCAGCTGATGGCTAGAGGAAAAAAAACTGTTTAAACTCTTGCCGCGGGGCTTCAAAGGACCGCCCTACAGCTGATCAGTGTTAAAAGAAAACAAATGAATAGACCGGTGCTTGCAAAAATAAATGGGTAGACCAGTGCCTGAAAAAATACATGAGTAGATCAGTGACTGCAAAAATACATGAGTAGATCAGTGCCTGCAAAAATAAATGGGTAGACCAGTGCCTGCAAAAATACATGAGTAGATCAGTGCCTGCAAAAATAAATTGGTAGATCGGTACAGCTCTGCAAGCAGTTAAAAGCCTGGTAGACCAGTACCTCTGCTAAATCCTAAATAATTGTCACATGACCATCAAGCCACACCCACAAAATAAGCCATGCCCACAGAATCGGTAGTAAAAAAATTTAGAACCCACTCCTGGGGTACACTCTGGATTATTATCTGCTCCATCCATGCTTTGTCTCCTCTATAGGTCTACGTGCCTGTGCGGGACAGCAGCTGGCAAGAATTGAGATCTTCATCCTTCTGACCAGCCTGTTGAGGGCCTTCAACTTCCGGTTGCCTGAAGGAGTGAAAGAACTCAATGAAGAACCTGTTGCAAAGATATCAATGCACCCATACCCTTACAAACTGTGTGCTATTCCCACAAAGGCTTAAACTTTAAAAACACCATAAAAAGTTTAAACTGTTTCCTATATGCCTCTTGGCTTAATTTATTCTTTTTCTTTCATTTATTGTACTTTAAAACTTTTTCAGCTTATTGCTGGGTTCACAAACTTACCTAACCATGTCAACCAGGAAGTCACGTCTGAATGATATGCTAAGTAAGTTTGTTACATTTTAGCTTAGTTTTCTTTTGGGTGCCAATAAATGTCAGCTTTGGAAGCCATATTAGGCCAGAAGCTTCCATGCTGCCACATTCTCATGTGTGGGAAAGTAGGAGGGGGGATTTAGTAAAGGGGTTGTCTGTAGACATAATAGCATTCTTCCTGTCGATCAAGGTCAGGCCGATCCTGCATCTGGAGAAGGAGTGGTCGGAGTGATGTTTCGAGATGGGACGGTGGTTGATTGGAGCATGTGATCGACTGAGGAGTGAGGGGATGGTTTTGGGGGTTTTGATTTACTGAGGGAAAAACCGGAACTCTCAGATTCGGGTTTTTCCAGATGTGCCAGTTTACCTATTCTAGTAAATAGAACTTTGAAAAATGCTTCCTTCAGAGTCTTTACTTGGAGTTGGGTTTTTTTTCTGGAATGCTGACAATAAACTCATTACTTTCCATTTAGTCCTTGAATCTTCCTTTTCACGCAGCCTCGTTCAGGCTGATCTGGCATTTAAAAACAGCAATCTAAACCCAGGCCAGGTCTACTTATCAGGTAAATGAGGTGAATGAAATGAAGGGGCAAAATATGAGACCAGTACTAAATACTGAGCTCACATTCCCCATGAGCGGTCACCATATTTCCAATTATCAGACACTCCAGATATACTCCAGATATACACTGCCCTGCCCTGATTTCCCTTCCAGCCATTCCACCTCTACTATTTATTGATCTAAAAGCAAGTGTTGCGCAGGTCACATAGGCAGATGCAGGCACCAATAAAATCTTTTTATTGCCCTACTATACCACAACAGATGAGCCTAAAATGTCTGGCAAAGCTCCAGCCCCAATTTTCCCAAAGACATCCACCCTCAGTCAATGCAACCTTCCCCACAGACTAGATCCAATAGTCACCAGAGCCGATTCACAAGGCAAGGAGGAAGTCTGTAGTCCTTATACAAGGTTCAAAGCCCACAAGGCAAGGTCCATAGTCCACAAACAAGGTATAAAATACAAGAAGAGATATTTTCTAACCATAGTGGACGACTTCAGCAGGTATGGGTTCGTGTACACACTCAGCCACAAGAATGAAGCGTTCCAGAAATTCAGGGAATTTTACAAAAGGGTGGAAACACAACATAACACAAAAATAAAACAGATAATGACAGACAGAGGATCTGAATTCCTATCCAGAGAATTCTCGAATTGGCTGAAAGAGCGCGGGATACTGCACTTTAAATCAACACCGTTTTCCGCATTCCAGAACGGGGTAGTAGAACGAAAAAATGGTTTATTGCAGACCATGACCAGGTGCGTGCTAGAAGACGCAGGACTAGGACAATCCTTCTGGGCTGAGGCACTCACATATTCCAACTATACCTTAAACAGGCTTTGGTCCAGTGTAGTAGACAAGACCCCATATGAGATAATGTACAGCAGAAAGCCCCAAATAGGACATTTACACATATTTGGTGTAACCGCAGATGTACACATCCCGAAACAGCTTAGACGCAAGGGAGATAAAGTCTCGAGAAGATTAAGGTTCATGGGCTATGAAACCGGGACTAACGGGTATAGGTTTATTGACAAAGACAACAGGTTCATTATATCTAGGACAGCGGTATTTCACGAAAATACGAACTGGTCCAAAATACACTTCTATGAAATACTACACAGGCAGGAAGATACAGACAGGGCAAGAGATGAGGGCAGTCAGGTCAAAACAGACACACATATACACAAAAGGTGCAAACCTAGGCACCATGAAATAACTACCAAGGAATGGAAGGAAGGCCACCCTACAATAAAGATAGAAACTCTCACGAAAAAGAAGCCAGGTACATGCATGACACCGAGACACCACCCAACAGGCCCGTCAGATCTAACAGAAACAAGACCCCAAAAAGACTCGAAGATTACATCCTATCCATACATGCTAACAGAATAACACCCAACTCATATGAAGAGGTGCTCAGGCTGCCACCGGAGGAAAGGGATAGGTGGGAGCAAGCCATGGACAAAGAGATGGCCAGCCTGAAGGAATTAAATGTATATACCCCTTCTAAGGCACCCACCAACAAGACACCTATTGGGACTAAATGGGTTTTCAAGATCAAAGGGCTCGAGAACAACCAGGCGTTTATATAAGGCTAGGCTGGTAGCACAAGGATTCGCCCAAAAATACCCCGAGGACTATACAGACATGTACTCACCAACAGTCAGGTCTGAAAGTGTTAAGAGTGCTTTGGTAGTAGGATCCCTCCTAGGACTCGAAGTGTATCAGTTTGACATGCAAACAGCTTACCTCCACGCGGAACTAGACAAAAAAATCTTTGTCAAGGCACCCCCCGGGAGGAACAAAATACAAGGGGACACTTAGTTATTAAACAAAAGCTTGTATGGTTTGAAACAGTCTGGAAAAAGGTGGTATGATTGCTTCGCAGCGATACTCAAAGACATGGGCTTCACACCCACCTCTGCTGATCTTTGTTTTTTCCTCAAGAAAGAGGACGCATTAATAGAGTACGTATTGGTTTACGTGGACGATATTTTATACTTTGGCCGTCACAAACAGAAATGCAATACATTTGCAGAGAGGCTAGGCAGCCATTTCACACTCAAGACATTGGGGAAAGTAAATAAGTACCTAGGGGGACAGATAACCAAAACACAGAATGGGTTCAAGCTCTCTCAGAGAGAAAAGATACTGGAACTCTTACATAAATGTAATATGGAGGAAGCCAAGCCCTGCGAGACACCCATGCAGGCCGACTTCCTAAAACACATGTATGAACAGAGCGAACCCTTCAAAGACAACACACTGTATAGGTTTGTTATCGGGTCCCTGTTATATATAGCCAACTGGACCAGACCAGACATCATCCTGGCAGTCAACCTCCTGTCCAGGCATGTCAGTGAACCAACAACATACCACTGGGAAGGAGCAAAAAGAATTATCCGGTACCTGAAATATAGCGTAGATGCCTGCCTACACTTAGAACCATCCAACTCTAAAGAACCCATCTTGACCTGCTAGGCAGATGCTGACTGGGCTGGAGACATGAACAGCAGAAAAAGCACATCCAGCTATGTGTTCTTCATCAACGACTGCCCAGTGCACTGGTACACCGGAAAACAAAACCTGGTAGCCACCTCCACAGCAGAAGCGGAATACATCTGCCTGTCCAAGGCAGCGAACAACCTAACATGGTTCGATGACCTGCTTTCCAACATATGGACCGAGCCAGCCTACCCAATTGTCATACACGAAGATAACAAAGCAGCCATAGACATCTCCATGGCAGACGCAGTAGGGCAGAGGTCAAGGCATATTGACATCAAGCATAAACACGTTAGGCAGTTATCAAGCATTGGATTCATCAAGGCCGTACATTGCAAGACTGTTGAGCAGATTGCAGACATACTGACCAAACCACTGCAGAACAAGCAGCATGCCTACCTCACCACAAAATTAGGCATACATCTACAACCTACACACACACATCAGCATGTTAGACATTTAGAGGGGGATTTGTTAGATATAAATGCCTAACACGCCCTGACCATGGCATGGCAGGGGTTAACATCCATCCACCGGACCCTTCCCTTGACCCCTCCTTACCTTAGCTCCGCCTCCCAGGTATAAAAGGTACAGTCCAGGGGTCCCAGATTCATTCCAGACAATTACCTGTAATAGAAACAAGATATAAATAAAGATACTTTGAATCAAGCTTACCTCGTGTTGGAATTATTGGGTTAGATCCTTGGAAACCTGTAACAGTGTGTGCCAAAACAAACAATTGTTCCTGATCAATCCTTCAGAATAGAGCTGGAAGGGACCTTGGAGGTCTTCTAGTCCAGCCTCCTATACCATTTCAGAGAAGTGACTGTCCAGTCTCTTCTTAAAAACCTCCAGTGATGAAACACCCACAACGTCTGAAGGCAAGCTGTTCCATTGGTTAATGGTTAGGAAATTTCTCTCCAATTCTAGGTTGCTTCTCTCCTTGGTTAGTTTCCATCCATTGTTTCTTGTCCTGCCCTTTGGTGCTTTGGAAAATAAATTGACCCCCTCCTCTTTGTGGCAACCACTCAAATACTGGAAGATTGCTATCATGTCCCCAGCAGTCCTTCTTCTCTCTAGACTAGCCAAACCCAAATCCTCCAACCATTCTTCGTATGTTTTATTCTCCAGGCCCCTAATCATTTTAGTTGCTCTTCTTTGCACTTTTTCCAAAATCTCAACAACTTTTTTGTAATGTGGTGAACTGGATGTGGCATTCCAGATATGGCCTTACAAAGGGTTTATAAAGCTGTCCTAATACTTTGTTGTGGCCTGCCAGCGGCCTGCGCGGATTGTGGCTGATCCCGACGACGAGGAGGTAGAGGCAGATATTTCTCTCTGGGTACAATTTATTTATTTATTTATTTATTTATTTATTTATTTATTTATTTATTTTTTATTTATTGGTCAACAAGTACAAGGAAACAAATATCAGTATAGTCGTAGACATGGACACATGAAAAAATGGCAGAAATAAATGGATATAAATAAGCAAAATATAGCCATAAACACATACAATGAGTACATATCAATGGGGACAGTAGGACAGGGACAGTAGACACATTGGTGTGCTTATGCACGCCCCCTTAGGGACCTCTTAAGAAACGTGTAAGGTCCACGGTAGACAGTTTAAGGTTAAAGGTTTGTGGGTTACAGAAACTAACAACAGGATCAGGTAGAGTGTTCCAGACAATTACTACTCTATTGCTGAAGTTGTATTTTCTGCAGTCAAGATTAGAGTGGATTACATTTAGTTTGTATCTATTGATGGCCCTTGGGTTATTGTGGTTGAAGTTAAAAGAAGTCATTAACAGGTAGGATGTTATGGTAGATAATCTTGTATACTAAGCTTAGGTCAGAATGTAGACGGCATAGTTCAAGGTTATCCAGGCCTAAAATTTCAAGCCTGGTGGTATAAGGAATTTTATTGTGAGCAGAGGAGTTCAGTACTCTTCTTGTAAAATACCTCTGGACCAGGAGTGGGTTCTACTTACCTTTATTACTGGTTCGCATTGGGAGTTTCGCTTGCGCGCACTTCTGTGCATGTGCAGATCACCTACGATGACGTCTGGGTCGGTGGGTGGAGCCTCCCGCCGGTTTTACTACCAGTTCTTGTGAACTGGTCTGAACAACCCACTACTTCTCTGGACCCTCTCTAATGTATTAATGTCCAAAATACAGTGTGGGTTCTACAATGAGAATATATCTGCTGAACAAAGTTCCCCATTTATTTTTTTTTTTGCTTTAATTTATATGCCGCCTTTCTCCGGAGACTCAGGGCGGCTTACAAGGCGTTAAGCAATAGCCTTCATACTTTTTGTATATTTATACAAAGTCAGCTTATTGCCCCCACAAACTGGGTCCTCATTTTACCTACCTTTGAAAGGATGGAAGGCTGAGTCAACCTTGAGCCTGGTGAGATTTGAACTTGCAGTAATTGCAAGCAGCAGATGTTAATAACAGTGCTTTAGTCCACTGTACTACAGGCTCTTTTTGGCGCCAGGAAGGACATCCGGCCATTAAACACTCTGCTAGCTCTATTTAATTGCCCAGACTCTACCCAGTCATGAGAGCCCAGTCATTCACTGCCATTTTATGGGCTCCATACCACTCTCTACCATCCCAGGTCAGATCGCAAATGTAGGTCTTCAGACCTTCTGGAAGACCAAGAAAGTCAGGGCCGTCCTGACTCTGGCTGGGGAGAGTGATGTTCCATGCTGGGGGGGGGGGGGGGGGGGGGGGGGGGGGAAACAGCAGAAAAGGTCCTTTTCCTAGGTTGTGTTGGGGGACCGAACCTGCAACGGGCCTCTTCTGCCAACCTGATGGGATTTGTGGATGACACTGGAGAGAAGTGGTCCTTCAAATAAACCCAGACACATGCCATGTAAATTTTATAGATCATCACCAGTAACTTGAATCACACCCAGAAGCAAACTGATAATCAATGAAGCTCACGGAGCGGAGGTATAATGGGTGCACAGTGGTGAAATCTGAACTGATTTGCTACCGGTTCGGTGGCTGTGCATGTGCGCTGTGCCAAATGCGCACTGTGTGTGCATGCATAGTACTCACCAAAAGGAGGCTTGGGAAGGTAAGTAGAAGCGAGGGCAGGGGATCAGCTATGCAGCAGTTTAGCTTCACTAGAAAGCAGAATTTCCTGTTTTCTAGCAAAGCTAAACCCCGCTGAACAGCTGATCATCGGAAATACTGAATTGGAGGAACCCGTAGGTTTTTTAAACTACTGGTTTAACCGAACCGGTAGCTAACTACCAGTTCGCCTGAACTGGTAGCTTTTTAAACTACTGGTTTAACCGAACCGGTAGCTAACTACTGGTTCTCCTGACTCAGTAGCTTTCATTTACTATCGGTTTGCCCGAACCAGTAGTTTTTATTACTATTGGTTCGCCCGAACTGGAGTGAACCGGTAGCATTTCACCCCTGGTGCAGACATAAATGCTGATGTTGCTCCATTTTATTTATATTTATTTTATTTATATTTTGTATTTCTAGACCAGGGGTGTCAAACTTTCATTTGAGGGCCGCATCAGAGAGACTCTACTATACCAATTGAAGTTTCCAAACACTTGCAAGGGCTTCTGGTTGATCGTGGTGTGGCAATGACATTTGCATGGGATGGGTCTTATGCTTAATGTTTGTTGACTTCCGGTGGCACCGCCGACGTTGCTGGACGCTCTCTTTCAGAGCGCCAGCCCTGTGATCTTGTAAAGCTGCCCTGACAGCGCAAATCAGCTGTCCGGCGGCTGGAAAACCTTTCCCCCGAGAGAAGAGGGAAAGGAGAGTAATCGGATGGGGATAGAGCTCCCCGAAAGTCCCTGAAATAGTTTTGGGGGCTTGGAGGGTGAGACCTCCCCAGGAAGTCCAGTGAAACTCTGAGATCCAGGGTGCTTCTTTGAGATCTAAGTTGATTATCTATGCAGGCGGAGTGAATACAGGAGAGCAGACAATCGCAAGTAACAAACCCTTAATTCCACGCTTAAATTGCCACCTTTTGAAATTGATTAAAGGAGTGAAGAAAATGGTGCTTGTGCTTAACAGGGTGTGAAAATGTAAATTAACTCTCATTAAAGCTGTTAACACCCAGCATTGTTCAAGGTGGTTGGATAAAAAAAAAATGGCTGGCTTTTTTGAAAGTGATGGAGGCTCACTATTACAAACATCAGTAAATACACAAATACTGATTGTGGATTTCTTTAAAGAAATTTTAGAATCATTTACCTCCGTGTTAGTGGAAAGAATGGAAGGGCTCTTCAAGAAGGATTTTACTCAAGTTCGAAACAAAGATACAAGTGAAGATACTGTATCGGTATTTCAGTTGCCAAATAATAGTGAGTTGCTGAATGAAGAGGTGGAAGAAATAATCCAGTTTAATGTGCCTTTTGAAAATGGAATGGATGTTTTTCATCCATTCCATTTTCTCAGGAAAGGCTGAGAGGTTCGAAGGAGCGTAACCAGGAAATATTGAGAGAGATTTCTCCAGAGGCTTTGATACAGTTATCTGGAAAATTGTCAGGAGGCGTTGGGATTTCCAATATAAGAAGTAGGATTCGAAGTGGAATTTTACAACTTTTTTACAAAAATGAACTCCCAATCGCAGTGAAAGAGGTGTGTTTACTGAAAGGAATTACTTTGCGAAGAGAACAAGATTGTAAGGTACAGCAACTTCAGTTGAAAATTCAAGAACTTATAAAAATAAAAGAAGGCGGAGGAATAAGACTGAAGAAGAAGGTTCGCAAAAAAGTCAGGAAAAAATGGAGATGGAAAAATTACAATCCTTTGGCCTGGGGAGGATAGTAATAGTGAAAATGAATAACTATACCTGTATTTAGGGATATGATTTGTTTTGAAAAGTTATGTTATAGTGAAAATGAATGATTTACTTATATTTAGGGACATGATTTGTCTTGAAAAGTTATATTAAGTAATGTTATGTTTGAATTGTTATGGACCATGGTATCATGCTGCGCCTGTTGGAAGAGTTGGGGTGGGGGGCACCGTGTTGCGGTGGTTCTCCTCCTTTCTCTCTGACTGGTCACAGTCTGTGTTGGCAGGGGGGCAGAGGTCGACCCCAAGGCGCCTTGTGTGTGGGGTGCCACAAGGGTTAGTCCTCTCGCCCCTTCTGTTCAACATTTATGTGAAGCCGCTGGGTGAGATCATCCATGGTTTTGGGATGAAGTACCACCAGTACGCTGATGACACTCAGCTGTACATCTCCATTCCGGGCCACCCCAATGATGCCCTTGAAGTGATGTCCTGGTGCCTGGAGGCTGTGCAGATCTGGATGGGGAGGAACAGACTCAGGCTCAACCCGTCCAAGACCGAGTGGCTGTGGTTTCCGATGTCCCGATATAGCCAGTTGGTGCCATCACTGACTATTGGGGATGAGTCGTTGGCCCCCACGGAGAGGGCTCGCAACTTGGGTGTCCTCCTGGATACATGGCTCTTTAGAAGAACATCTGACGGCTATGGCCAGGTGGACTTTCTATCAGGTTCGCCTGATCCGCCCTCCCTGCGGCGGGGTGTAGCAGTTCAAAGGTCAAAGCGAAGGAGAGAGTGATCCGATCATGACAAGGGCTCAATCACTATATCCCCTATATCAAGATCACTCAGCCACTGACCAGAGACAAAAACCAAGTCCAGAGTGTTTCCCCCCGTGTGAGTAGGGCCATGAACTGGGTCAGGTCCATAGCTGTCATGGAAGCATGAATTCCTGAGCTGCCTCAAATGTTTCACTGACGGATGGCAGATTAAAATCCCCCATGACCATAAACCTGGGGGTGTCAACCACCACCTCGGCTATAACGTTGAGCAGTTTGGGCAGGGCCGCCGCCACGTGGCAGGGAGCCAGGTACATGATCAGCAAGCCCATCTGTACCCCATGACCCCACTTCACAAGGAGGGACTCACATCTGGCAATCTGAGGAACAGTGGCCTCCCTCGGACCAAGACCTTCTTTTATAATAACCGCCACCCCCCCACCCCTACCCTGTGACCTCGGCTGACGAAATGCACGGAAACCAGGTGGGCACATTTCAACAAGAGGCACCCCCCCTCCTGGCCCAGCCAGGTCTCCGTAATACCCACCAGGTCCGCTTCCCCCTCCTGAACAAGATCACAAATGAGGGGGGCTTTATTTACCACGGACCTGGCGTTGCATAACATCAGTCGAAGGCCCGGGCCCTGAGGATCTGTGCAACCCGGGGAACGAGAAGAGCATTGGGGGCCGGAGCGCACCACCGCTCGAAGACAGCGAGGGCGCACTCCTGCAACAGGATATGGCCCCCTGCTCCCACCATATCTGCCCCTCCCACCCACAGTACTGATGGAATGGCTCTCATCAGTACTGTTGTTGACATCATTTTTAAGGAGGTATTTCAAAACACAGCTCTCAACCTATAATTTGCTGCTTGAATTTAGAACACCTTTCTATCAAGAACATCTGCTGCAGAATCTATTACAACAGCCCTTCCTTATTAGCATGGTGGTTACACTTGTTTTAGTTGGAAATGGCTGCATAGCACCAGAGATGGGGCTCAACAGTAGGAGGCCTTCGTGAAGACGTTCCCTTATTTGTAAGCAAAGTTGAGTGAGTTTTTTTAAAATATCATGATAATGTTGTGATACAGCCCTTGCAAGGATGAGACATAATCCTGGACTAGATAACATCTCTGCGGCACAACAAGTTTTTTCTGTATATTTCATGGATGTATGAAACACCATGATTTTCATCATGATTTCCAAATAATGCTGGCATAGTGTTATTTTAGGAACCTATTGGATTATACAGTCCTAGTTCTTTTTTTTTTAGAAGACATCTCTTTATTATTTGAGTGACGCAGGGTCAGAGGGAACCTCATTCATGTGGATTAATATAACTTGTTGACATAACTTGCTATTCATTCCCATTGATGAATACATAAAACAGGAGGAAGAGGAAAAAGCATCAGACAAAAGGATACAACTGCCTCCAGATCTACGGTAGTAGTGAGCATCAAAGAAAAACAACTAGCAGAATAATGATGGTGACAGGAATAATTTTGTTGTTTTTGCTGCTTGTTCTGTTGGTTCTCTTCTTCCTGAAACAACGCTGGACTCGAAGACATTTGCCTCCTGGTCCTTTGGCTCTGCCACTCCTTGGGACCTTATTGGCAACTGGGCTTTGGCTCCGTGAAGATTACTTCCGTAAGGTATTTAATTCTAACTAGTAGTTTGCAAGATAATTGTTCAATTTCTCAATTGTTTTCTTTATACCAAAATTATCATGCCACAATATACAGGTAAGTTATCATGTATAAGTTATCATGCCACAATATACAGGTAAGACTTGTTAATAACTGCTTCACTGAGAACAATGTGAAACAATGGGACTGAATTTTTAGAAGCAGTTTCTAGTTCCATCTTACCCATAAATATTTGATAATGGAACCACTTTTTGAGAGAGAGGGGGGGGTTCCCCTTCATTTTGTTCAAATGAAGCTAGACATGCTTCTGTTGAAGCATGCTTTGTTCTATGTTCCTATGGTGGGCAATAAGTATAACCTTATAAATGGCCCCACTAATTCTGCAGTTGTATCATAATTTTAAAAATGTTCTGGGTTTGTGTTCTGAAGAGTAATTTCTATTTTAGATACATTAGATAAGGACTCGTGTAGCTGGTTGGAGAAGACAGGAATAGAACAGTTTTCTCTTAACAGACACTTATATATCTGCTTTGTATGTGGTATAGTATGACCTAGATCCGTGATGGTGAACCTATGGCACGTGTGCCAGAGGTGGCAAGCAGTGCCTGCTCTGTGGGCACGCGAGCCGTCACCCCAGTTCAGCTCCACCATGAATGCGCACGTGCCTCCCACTAGCCATCTGGCCTTCGGGTCTCTGCTGTGCATACGTGGGGCAGGGCATGTGTGTAAGGGCCCCATGTGTGCATGCGTGGGGATTGTTCGCACATGCATGGGGGCCATGCACACATTGCATTTTGGGTGTTCGGACACGTGTGTGCGCATTTGTGCGTGTGCGTGTGAGCTTTGGACACTCAGTCTGGAAAAGGTTAGCCATTACTGACCTAGATATTGGTACTTCTAAAGTCTAATTTAATTGCATCTCCGCTTCCGGCATGTTCTCCAGCTCCATGTTCTCTTAGCACTGTAACATACTTTTGCCTAGGAAAGAAAATTGTATCCTTTGCCTGGATTCCACTATAGCATTGTTTCTCAACCTTGGTAGCTTGAAGATGGGTGGACCAGCACTGGCTGGGAGATTCTGGGAGTTGAAGTCCACCCATCTTTAAGCTACCAAGGTTGAGAAACACTGCACTATAGTGTTGGAGCATTCACAGCCTCTGGAGGTAAATTGTTCCACTGGTTGATTGTTCTCATTGTTAGGAAATTAGTCCTTATTTCTAGTTGTTTTTCTCCTTGGTTAGTTATAAAAAAAATAAATAGAGGGATGTGTTTTCTTAGAAGAATAATTCAGAAAATCAGAAAGAAATTCTGGGCAGGAATCTTAGAGAGAGAAAAAAGAATTCTAAAGAGAGAATTGCATATGGTGAACTATCTTAGAATTCAGGATTTAAGAACACCCATAGATGGCATCTAGCATTAAATGGGAATAATCCGTGCATTTGGTTATAACACGTCTCATCTTTGATTGACTCGACAGCCTGTAAAACGATATGGAAATATTTACTCCTTGTGGTACGGGCGACAACTTATGATAGTTCTCTCTGGATTCAAAGCTGTGAAAGAAGGAATGACCAGCTTCCTAGAAGAATTCTCAGTTCGAGTAGAGACTGCTTTCTTGTATGATTTTACGAAAGGAAAGGGTAAGTCCAAATAATTGTTGTTGTTGTTGTTGTTGTTGTTGTTGTATTATTATTATTATTATTTACCATTATTTATTATTATTAACCATCAAATTCTTCCCATTTGTCGTAATATTATGCACAAGCATAAGAAGAAAAAGACATAGTAAACAAAATGATTTACTGGCATGAGACAAGCAAAAGAAACCAGTTCTCTGCCCTAAGACTGGCTGTGTGGTTGTGGCTGGGTGGTCATGTGACTGGGTGGGTGTGGCCAATTTGATATCACTCATGTGGGTAGTGCCTGTATGAGCCAGGGGGGTTGGGGAGGGAATCCAGGGGTCTCCGGTGGATGTGGGGGGTGGGAGCGGGAGGAAAGAAAGAAAGAGGAAAAGGTCCCTGCCAGCAAGGCACTGAAGCGCCGGTACTAATGAGAGATGCTGCTTTACTGCCCAGGAGAGGCAAAGCCTCTCATTTTGTACACACCATCCGTTGCCGGTGTATACAGTGTAGCAGGTGGCATAGCAGGTCCATCCTGGGTACAGAGGCTAGCCCAGCAGCCCGGCCCAAGCCACATTCTTTCCCCCTATGGGGGACTACCGAAATGGGAAGCGCGCCTCTGCCTGTATAACTAGGGGGAGACTCTCCACCCCGCAAAAACCAGTGCCTCGAAACTGGCTCCTCTGCCAACCAACCCCATTCCCCTGCTGACTTCCCCAAACACCTCGCCCCACTGCAAACATGGCAGGCCGTTTGGGTGGGAAATGCCTGGAATTGGTTGGCTAATGGCGTGAGAGGAGAGGCGGAGAAGCAGGAGGGGTGCTGAGCCGAGCGGATAGTAGCCCTCTGAAAGAAGGGGGCTGAGGGAAAGTGCATGGGCTACGGCATGCTGTGGAGGGCTGTCGCTCATCCCTTTGCTTGGCTCCACCTGCCGTCTCCTCAGCGCTCCCTCCCTCGCTCATGCTCTACCTCTCCAGTCTAGCTTGATGCAGGCAGCAGCTCACAAATTGCCCTTTGCAAGCCCACTGTTGGTGAAGCTGGGCCCCGGTGAGGACTGTGTCAGCTTGGAAGCCATATTAGGTTGGAAGCATGTGATCGACTGAGGTCTGAGGAGATGGTTTTGAGGGTATTGATTTACTGAGGGAAAAACCGGAACTCTCAGATTCGGGTTTTCCCATTTGTGCCAGTTTACCTATTCTAGTAAATAGAACTTTGAAAATGCTTGTTTCAGAGTCTTTGCTTGGAGTTGGGGAGTTTTCTGGAATGCTGACAGACTGGCTTCTTGCATATGTTTGTCAAGCTGTGGGGTGGAAAATGATGATTAGAGCTGGCCAGGACAGAATAATTTACCAGCAGTTGGTGCAGTTCCCCATTACCTGATAAGTATTTCATGAGTCATAGAGGTTGGATTTCTAGTAGCCTTGGTCTCAGGCTGTTGACAACAATAATTGGTGGCAGATATTAGAGATGACCTCCAGACATGATATCATGGACGATGAATAAATGATTTGAGCACATTTTACTGGGCAACGTAAGGGTTAGGTTTTGTAGTTTGAAGTACAAAAAGCTGTAGATGGGTCCAATGTTGCTTAGGAATTATAATCCCTATGGCAACCATGAGTTTCCCCCTGGTTATCTCACCCAATTGGCAGTTATATAATAGACTTAATGTTTACCTCAGAAGAAATGGCGCATGATCTGGAAATGGAGGACATTGTCATCAGCGGTTACTTTGTTTTTTGGTTGGGTTACCGGACTACTGAAACTAAAGCCCATAAAAGCAAGTTAAAATATTTTAGTCAATCTTTGGCACATAAATGCAATAGGAACTTGATTAAACTAGGCCAGGGGTGGGCAATTGTGGCTCTTTTACAACCTGTGGACTTCAACTCCCAGAATTCCTGAGACAGCTTGGCTGTCTGGGAGTTGAAGTCCACAGGTTGTAAAAGAGCCACAATTGCCTAACTAGGTGAATAAAAAAGCCATTTGCCTATTTTGGTGGTTGGTTTCAATGTTGTGGGAAGAAGGTGCAGATGGTCCTTCTGCAATCCCTGAGAAGATCCTGTCTCTGGTGCCTATAACAGAAGTTCTTGTACATGAATAATTACACCATTTTAGAAGGTTTTGATGTCCATCATATATGACAGAGGTTGGCAAGCACTGCAACTGCGGTCACCACAACACTTATGTCTCCTAGTGTCCATGTGAATCCCAAAATAAATAAATATTTTGTAAAGAAAAAATAACATGTCCAGAATTTTACAAAAATGTCAACATGTCACGAGGTTTTGGTATTCCCACCTGAAATTCAGAAAGATGTTTGGCAAGAACTGGACATCACTGTTTTTTTTAAACACAAAGGTAATCAGGAATCATTTAACACTGTCTGCTGATGCCTTCAGGAATTATTTTCACCAATGGCCACCTCTGGAAACAGCAGCGACATATTAGCATCACTACTCTGCGGAAGCTGGGCCTGGGGAAGAAAAGCATCGAGCATCAGGTAGAAAACGTGGCTCAGACATTGGTGGAGATCTTTAGACAAACAAAAGGTATGTCATTTAGGGTAACAACTCAAATCCCCATCGGCCAAAATCTTTTCCATTCTGAGTATTTTAAATAAAAATAGATGCATTCAATTTGTGTGGTTTTTTTTTTTTTTAAAAACAGACAGTTCCCATTTCTCTTCCTTCACCCCCTGCCAGTCTCCCAAATTGATTAGACAGGGGAAATGACAAGATGAACTAATTCTACTTTATTGTAAGGCTACATAACAGAGTCTTGCAAGTTTGAAAGTACAAATCTCCTGAAGTTTGTTTTTACTGCCTGATAGGTTTAGATGGGATCCTTTCAAAGTTTCTTTTTCTTCTCATTACTGATTACTCAGTTTGGGCTCCTCCCCACTTTATCTAATTCATTATGAAATATCTTTCATTGCAGGGCAGCCATTTGACCCTTCATTTTCAGTACAAAATGCAATTTCTAATGTCATATGTGCTTTGAGCTTTGGACGTCCGTTTGATCTTGAAGATGAAAACTTCCAGAAGCTGGTTCAAGCCCTTACAATTATTGTGAAATTCCTTGGTGACACTTTAAATGTGGTGAGTCATGTTTTCTACTAAGGAAACAAACTATGTTTCCACCAGTATTTTCACAGAACCCTAGTATGGACAGCATAGAGGAAGTTTCTTTGTGTGTGTGTGTGTGTGTGTGCGTCTGTGTCAATGTCCTCCAGTGAGTCTTGACTCTTGGTGAGACCCTGGACAAGTTTCCACAGATTTCTTGTCAAGATTTTGGAAGTGGTTTAGGATTGGCCACTTCCTAAATTTTGACTCAAGGTCACTTAGTCGATTTAGGGCCTGATTAGCACTAGAACCTACTGCCTCCCAGTTTCTTGGCTGGTGTCTTTAATTTATTATTATTCTTATTAATCAATTTATATGCCGCCCGTCTCCAAAGACTCAGGGCAGTTCACAATACATTTAAAATCATTATAAAAAACATTTAAAAATTAAAAACATTTAAAAATTAAAAACGTCCGATAGCCTCCCACCGACCAGTACGCTCCCACAGAGAGGGTCTCCTCAGGGTGCCGTCAGTTAGACAGTGTCGACTGGCGACCCCCAGGGGGAGAGCCTTCTCTCTGGGGGCACCTGCCCTCTGGAACGAGCTGTCCCCCGGAGATTCATCAGATTTCTGACCTCCGTACCTTCCGCCGCGCCCTTAAAACGCTATTATTCCATCAAGCAGGGCTGGCCTAAAATATTATTTTAATGGGTTACTGTATTTTAGACGATCGGCCAAACTATTTAATAATTTTAAATTGTTTTTAACTTTTTTTTTTATTGAAAAGTTTTACAAAAAGTTTACATATTTCCACCCCCTTCCCTACCTCAACCTCCCCCCCCCCCCTCCCCTTCCCAGAACAAATTACAGGGTATAAACTTCAACAATCATAATCAATCCTAATCTAAACAATTATGACATTTCACATCTCTTGTTTCTTCAATTCCCTAATTACCCGCCTAGATTTATTACTTAAAGACACACTAAATATCTATATAATCATTCATAACCTATCTGCAATTTCTTATTCCGATATTTATTTTGAATATAATCTATCCACCTTCTCCAATCTCTTAAATATCTTTCATTTGAATGATCCTTCAGGTACGCCGAGATTTTTGCCATTTCCGCTAGATTTATAACTTTCATTGTCCACTCTTGGATTGTAGGTAAATCTGCTTCTTCCAATATTGTGCCACCAACAGTCTTGCTGCAGTTATTAAATTCAAAATCAATTTAGTCTCTATAACTGTAAATTGTTTTTAACTTTTGTATTGTTGGTTTCATCTTGGCTGTACACCGCCCTGAGTCCCTTTGGGAGAAGGGCGGTATAAAAATTTACTAAACTAAACTAAACTAAACTAAACTAAACTAAACTAAACTAAACTAAACTAAACTAAACTAAACTAAACTAAACTAAAAACATTAAAACTTATTCACACCATTCATGGCCAGATCTCGCCGGATCGCAAGAGCGAGATCAACGGCCCCAGGCCTGCCGGAAAAGCCAGGTCTTCACCGCTTTTCAGAAGACCAATAGGGTGGGGGTGGTCCGGACCTCAGGAGGTAACTGGTTCCAGAGAGCTGGGGCAGCCACAGAGAAGGCCCTCCCCCGCGGGCCCGCCAGCCGGCATTGTTTAGCGGATGGGACACGGAGGAGACCAACTCTGTGGGATCTTACCGGTCGCTGGGAGCTATGCGGTAGAAGGCGGTCTCGAAGATAACCTGGCCCTGAGCCATGTAGGGCTTTAAAGGTAATAACCAACACCTTGAATTGTGACTGGAGACCAATAGGGAGCCAGTGCAGCTCGCGGAGAATTGGTGTAATGTGGGTGTATCTAGATGTACCCACGCCGTTCTTGCGGCTGCGTTCTGGACCAACTGTAGTCTCCGAATACTTTTCAAGGGTAGCCCCATGTAGACCGCGTTGCAATAATCTAACCGTGAGGTGACAAGGGCATGAGTGACTGTGAGGAGAGCCTCCTGATCCAAGTAGGGTTGCAATTGGTGCACCAGGCGAACCTGTGCAAAGGTCCCCTAGCCACAGCTATACCACTACACCAAAGTGGTTCTCCCCATGGAGGAATCCATCATTTCAATATCAGGAGCAGATGGCCATCCACCCCATGTCTAAACACCTCTAGCAAAGGATAGTCCACCACTTCATGGGTCAGTCCATCATTGAACGGTTCTTACTATTTTTTTCTTGATACACAACCAACATCTACTTTCCTATTATTTAAGCCTTTTGTTTCTGCTAAGTCTTCTGGAATAATTCTGAACTATCCTGCCTCTCTTCTGCATATGGCATGTATTTGTCCCCTGATGGTCTTCTTTTTCTCCTGGCTGAACATACCTACTGCTTCAACCTTTGTTACTGGTTTGCAATTGTGAGAGTGTGCTTTCCGTGCACGCGCAGAGCGTCAAAAACGGGATGTGATTACATCCGGTGGGTGGGCGGAGCCTCCTGCAGCCACCGCTACCAGTTTGCCTGAACCGGATAGAACCAGCTGAATACCACCACTGTACTGCTTCCAATTCTTCCTTTTAAGTTTTTCCTCCCAGGACCCTTATCATGTCAGCTCTTCTCTCCCAAAATGCACTTCAATTTGTAAAGCTGTTTCTAAAGCACAAGGTAGAGATCTAGAAGCAATATTCTAGTGGTGTCTAAATAATGAGAATAAAGAGGAAGAATGATTTCTCTGGATCTGGATACTAGATTTCTGCTGATCTACTCTAAAATCTATACAGATAGCCTGTCGACTCTGAAGCTAGCCTGACTGAGGCCATCTTGGAGGCTTCAGTGCTGCCACAATGGTGCTGAGGAGTAGGGAGGGGGGAATAGAGATTACTGGGGGTTTGTAGCTAAAACAAATTAGTTTCCCCTTGAGAATCAAGGACATTCCCACAGGTGGCTAAAGAGAGGAGGAGTGAAGTTTCCAAGCAACCAGACATCACCTTGATTGGACTATGCGACTGATTGGTTGGGAAAAGGGGAAAATGTTTACTTCTAATTAGGTGAATACCATGGGAACCTTTAGAGTCGGTTTTCACCAGTTGTGCCAATATGATATCTGCAATAAACCTGATCTTTGAGGAAACTGCTTGCCTCGGAGTTCTGTTTGCTCTGGGTGTATTACTTGGAACCCTTACATAGTCTTTGACTTACAAACACAAGTGAGCCTGGAATTTTGATCATAAGTCACTGAGTAAACTTGTAAACTTGATATTACAACCATTTTTACAATGGTTAAGAAAGTCAGCATAGTTATTAAGTGAAGCACGTGTTTGTAGGTCTGAATCCAGCTTATCTGATGGATGTTTTTTGCTCAAAAATGGCAAAGTTGTAAAGTTTGTTTGTTTGTTTAGCATATGGCAAGTTGTCAAGTGAAATCACGTGACTGCAGGAAGCTGAAACCAGTCATAAATGGAAGCCAGTTGCCAAGCATCCATAGGATGGCCGAATGAGCTTAGGATGATGCCACAGTCATATTGTCATGGCCCTGTCGAAGTCCAGGTCCGAGGAAGAGGAGGAAAATGAGCCAGGGCCAACAGAGGGGGCCGACGGAGGGGGATGGTGCAGTCCTATGGCCCAGGAGGAACGACTGGGGTGGGTGGGTGGGGGGTAGGGCAAGGCAGTCCTGGCCCCTCGGGCCTCGGAAGAGTAGGCAGGGAGGAAGAGCGGGGGCAAGTGGTGGGATTCAATTTTTTTACTACCGTTCTGTGGGCCTGGCTTGGTGGGCATGGCTTGGTTGTGGTGTGGCTTGGTGGGTGTGGCTTGGTGGCGTGGCAGAAGAAGTATACTGTAAAATCTCCATTCCCACTCCATTCCAGGGGAAGATTACTGCAAAATCCCCAATTCTTCCCAATCAGCTGGGACTCAGAAGGCAAACAATAGATGCGGGCGGGGCCAGTCAGAGGTGGTATTTACCGGTTCTCCGAACTACTCAAAATTTCCGCTACCGGTTCTCCGGAACTGGTCAGAACCTGCTGAATACCACCTCTGGTGAAAGGGCTTTCTTTTCTATTCACACAAACAAGCAGACAAGCAGGGGGTTGGACTAGAAGACCTCCAAGGTCCCTTCCAGCTCTATTCTATTCTAAATTCTAAAAGCAACTCTGTGTGGGCCTGCATTGGGACAATTGTCCAATACAGTATCATGGAATAGCATTCAAGATTCCCTTTTCCGATGAATCTATAGCTTGACTATTTCAGTCTAATAGCTTGGAATATCCCTCTCAAGCTTCCAACAGCTTGAGTCCATATGTCATCACTATCCTACTATCAAGTGCCAAGGAAATCAGGACATCCAAATGTTCAAATGAGTATACATTTTTATTGCAAGCTTAAGCTCTCTACAAGAATCTGAGCTACTAACGGCCTAGGGAAATTTGCAGGAGTAAAGAAAGGTATTCAAGGCATTATCTTGTAGGCATGCAGAGACTCATGACTTATGATGTGTTTGACCCTTCCCTGCTTTAGTTATGGCAGGGAATAAATAACTTTTCTTTTTTTCTGTTAGGTGTATGATTTGTGCCCACAATTAATGAAGTACCTCCCAGGCCCTCACAAGGAAACCCTGACTTCTGTGGATATTATGCTTGCGTTTGCAAAGCAGGAAATTGAGAAACACAAGGAATCCCTCTGTCTGCACGAGCCACAAGATTTCATTGATTACTATCTTCTTCAGATGGAGAAGGTATGGATTTATTGTAGTTCAATACACAGGCAAGGAATTATTATATTCCTTGCTGTAAATAAACAGGCAGAGCTACTGATAACATATTCCTTCATCTTGGATTTTTCTTTCTTTCTTATTCAGCTCCAATTGTGAATATATCCCAGTGGTGGGTTGCTACCGGTTCTACCAGGATCGGCGAACTGGTAGTGGCAACAGCATGAGGCTCCGCCCACCCACGCTGGACGCTTCTGCACATGTGCAGAAGCATCACATGCACAAGAGAATCGGTAGTGATGGGTTTTGCAACCCACTACTGATATATCATCCCATGCTTTGAAGTGAGAACTATATTGTTCGTCATACTTAATCCCTGCAAAGATTGGGAAAGAACAGATACTTTCATAGCCTTCACCATAAGTAAAAATGTAGAATATTTTAAAACAAGGAAAAAAAGGTCATCCTTTCCAATGTTTTTGGGGAAAAGAACCAAAATGATTTTTTAGAAGTAATGTATCAATTTGTGCTCAGTATAGCATTGCGTACAAAAATATTCCATAGGACAGGGACTGCAGCAGGAAAGGCTCTTCTCCCGGAACTTTTTTGGCAGATGAGATCTGAAGTGGGCTTCTTCTGCTGGATTGAGTGGGATAGGATGATTAGATCATCTCTAATGATCTAAGTGCCAGAGTTCACTGTAACAGCATTGCCAAAAAAGCATGAAGAGTTGTTAACCTAATCTTGCAAAGCTTCTTTTCTGGTAATATTGTATTGCAAACTAGGGAATATAAAACTTTTGCTAGACCAATCCTTGAATACAGCTCATCTGTCTGGAACCCGCACTGCATATCGGACATTAATACAATCGAACGAGTCCAGAGATATTTCACGAGAAGAGTCCTCCACTCCTCTGCTCACAACAGAATATTTCACTGGACTTGAAATTTTGGGCTTAGACAACTTAGAACTATGTTTCCTTCGGTCCGACTTAAGCGTAGTACACAAAATTATCTGCTACAATGTCCTACCTGTCAATGACTACTTCAGCTTCAACCACAACAATACACGAGCACACAATAGATACAAACTTAAGGTAAACTGCTCCAAACTCGATTGCAGAAAATACGAATTCAGCAACAGAGTAGTCAATATGCCTAGAATGCACTACCTGACTCTGTGGTTTCTTTCCCAAACCCCCAAAACTTTAACCTTAGACTGTCTACTGTTGAGATCACCCTATTCCTAAGAGATCTGTAAGGAGCGTGTATAACGCACCAGTGTACCTACCTTCTCTGTCCTACTGTCCTCATTTATTTGTACCCATTTGCTATGTTCATAATCATGTTTATACTTATATCTGCTATCTTATACATGCTTGACAAATAAATAAAATAAAATAAATAAATAAATAGGGAAATCTCATCGGGGTGAGTTGTCTCTTTAGATACCTTGGATCCAACACCTTGAATTGGACCTGGAAGCAAACTGGCAATCAGTGCAACTTATACAACAGTGGTGTTACATGGGCCACCTGAGTGGCCTCAGGGACTGTCCATACCGCTGCATTCTATACCTGTTATCGCTTCCAAATACTCTTCAAGGGTAGCCCCACATAGAGCATGTTCCAATAATCCAACCAAGAGATGACCCGGGTATGAGTGACTGCATGGGCGTCACGATCCAGGAAAAGGCCCCACGTGAAGTTGCACAAAGATTCTCCTAGCTATGGCTGCCACCTCTTGTTTGAGCAGGAGTTGTGAGTCTAGGAGAACCCCCAAAAACAAAAATAACCACAGGAAAGCTACATAGAATTTATTTTAATTTTCATTTCCCATTTTAAACATCAGAGCAGAAATGACCCCGACTCTACCTACACTGAAGAGAACCTGGCTCGGTGTATTATTGATTTCTTTGGTGCTGGAACAGACACAACCTATACTACTATGATGTGGGCACTGGTCCTCCTGACAAATCGTCCCGACACCCAAGGTGAGCGAAATCTGGGCTGTGGGAACAAGGGCCAGTTTCAGGTTCTAGAACACAGAAGAATTATTTGAAGGTAATTAAAGTATGAAGGGCTGTTGAATGATGAACTGAATCTATTCTTCATGGTAATTTTCCTATTTGAATTCCTGAACCTAAAATTGGGAACATGAGCTTAGTAAGATTAAAGGAAAGTATATGTACCAAGAGCCTTGGTACTACAGTGGTTTAAAGCACCCTGTTATTAACACAGCTGCCTGCAATTTACTGCTGGTTCGAATCTCTCCAAGGCTCAAGGTTGACTCAGCCTTCCATCCTTTCTAAGGTAGGTTAAATGAGGACCCAGTTTGTGGGGGCAATAAGCTGACTTTGTATAAATATACAAAAGTATGAAGGCTATTGCTTAACGCACTGTAAGCCGCCCTGAGTCTCCGGAGAAGGGCGGCATATAAATCAAATTAAAAAAAAAATATGTTGTACATACAGAGAGCCTTCTCTGATATCAATAAAATATTGTGTGAGGAACTAAAAACTAGAAATCAGTACAATGTAAAACAATTGAGCACATTTTAACTGCAGAAATCTACCAAAGTTTTTAGATTTGTTTTTCGTTTGCAGCCTAAATTGCATGTAGAAGACCAAATTAGAGTATGATAATGAACATATAAATTTTGAAAAAAAATGATCGAGATTATTTTCAAAACAATTATTTATTTCTTCTTAAAATTTAACCAGATTTCCAAACTGATTGGAATTCAAATCAGGAGATTGACTTGTCTGAGGAGAGTCATTGGAATCTTTGAATTAAATCACCAATTTACCTCAATATTCTAAATCAGCTTGAATTGGATCTAGTCCTGTTCCAGTAACCTTAAAATGGCACTCCACCATGACCCTCAAAAGGAGGATGGGGTTAATTGGAAGGTTAGCCTAAATCCCAATGTACGAATAAATAAATAAGTGAAAAAAAATACTGAAAGCTAAATTTGTAGCAGGATCCAATCTGGGTGGGTCACCAGGACCAGAGGTTTACTCTTCCGAGCCTTTGGACTCATGCTGAGCCTATCCACAGGGAATTTCTCTCTAGCAAGTGTATTGTCTCCATTCCGGTAGAGAGAAGTTCCCTGACAACGGACTGCAGCATGAGTCCAAAAATTCAGGGAGGGGGAGGGCTGGGGAAGGAGAGGGGAGGGGAGATGGGAAAACATTTGTAAATTTTTTTAAAAAGCTTTTCAATTAAAAAAAAATTAGCAAGGGGTTCTCTGCCTGGTTGTTGGGTGGGCGTGGCCATGGTTGGCGTGGCCTAGTCGGCCTCCTGCACCACGGTGGGGGGGCGTTTTTGCCCTCCTCGGGCTCTGGAGGCTTTCCTCGAGCCTCTGGGAGGACGAAAACGGCCTTCCAGGCTCAGGAGGCTCTCTGGAGGCTGGAAATGGGCCTGTTTCTGGCCTTCCTGAACTTCCGGTAGACCCGTTTCTCACCCTCCTTGAGCCTGCACTTACCTGCATCCAAAATGGGCCGCATGGAGACTCCTGGGAGGGATGGGGTGGGCGGGGCCAGCCAGGAGTGGCATTTGGGGGGTTCTCCGAACTGCACAGTATCTTAGCTAGAGGTTCTCCCGAACCCCTGTGAACCCCCAGCAGCCCAGCCCTGCTCTGTGACTGACCCAGATTGGATTCTGCAACATTAACCTGGGACACGTACATTTGTCTTCATTCACTAAGTTTGTATTTCCTTAATTTTTTCCTAGAGAGAGTGCAGAGGGAGATTAAAGATGTTTCTGGATTATCATCTAATGCTCTAAAGACTATTCTACATCCTAAAAGTATTACTGAGGACACTATTAATTATTACTGCTAATGCATAATTTTTATAAGAACTCGAGATCCAGAGTTCACTTCAGGACACAAGGCCACCATGCCAACAGGATCCCAACTCGGAGAGGAGTGAGGCAAGGGTGTATTTTAGTCCTCTGTTGTTTAATGTATATATTAATCCACTTGGGGCTAAATTGAATTGATTAGATCACCCTCCAAAGTCAGCAAAAAGGCATATTACAAATTTATTGTATACAGATGACATTGTACTTTCCCACAAACATTATTCGGATTCACATGAGCCTTGAATGCCCTGATCAGCTATATTGTTGAATTAACTATTCTTTCCCACAACTTTGAGCTCTTTTCTTACAGAGGATAATTATAAACCAATAAAGCTTAGAATTATTTCATAAAAACTCCAGGTTCGAGACCCGAGTGCTATATGACAGGGTGAGCTCCCGTTAGTTGCTCCAGCTCCTGCCCACCTAGCAGTTTGAGAGCAATCAAAGGAGAGTAGATAAATAGATACCACTTTGGTGGGTAGGTAACAGCATTCTGTGAGCCTCTTGATGATCTCACCATAAATTGAAATGTACTATTATGTCATGTTTAATTGTTTTAAAAGTTTTAATTTTTAACTCTGGTCTGTGCCCATAATAAAGGATTGATTGATACTTCTGAGGATTAAAATTCGGAAATGAATGAATAAACAAACAAAGGAATAAAAAAACACAATACTGAACATGAAGTTTCTGTTTCCGTTATTGTTTTCTAGAGAAAGTCCAGAAAGAGATTGAAGATGTGTTTGGTTCCTCGGGGTCAATTTCCTACCAGGATCGGAAGAAAGTGCCCTACACCAATGCCGTGATTCATGAAATGCAGCGTTTAAAATATGCCTTTCTATATGGAGCTCCCAGGCAAAGCACAAAGGATGTGATGATGAGGGGATATCACATTCCAAAGGTGGGAAATATGTTCAGGATGCATTGCAGTAGCCCAACATGGAAGGAAAAAGAGAATAGGGCACTTGGAAGGTCTCTGTTCAGGAAGTGCCAATTAGTCGTGCAAAACTGAATAAGCAAGAATAGCAAAAACTTCCCCCCCAAGTTTTTTATCTTTTATTTTTTATAAATGTATCAAATCAATACGTGAACAGTGTGGCACCTTGGTGTCATACATTCTAATACAAATAAAACTAATAAAGTTAATCATAATTATTACATTCAATCAACTTATATATTTCTAGTAAATAATATGCATTTCTCTTAGGTTGCAATCTATCATTGTTCAGTTGTTCCACTTTTTCTCTTGTTATTGCTTTCATTTTATTATATAAAAATGTATACATTGATATTCCCCCTTTCTTATTTCTATCACTTATTCTAGCTTTAATCATATCACCCTTTATTAAAAGACTTTTCCTTTCTTTGCTTTCTGACTTCTAATCATGTCACCTACCTAAAAAAAAAAAAAAGGAGGAGAGAGAGAGAGAGAGAGAGAGAGAGTGAGAGAGAGAGAGAGAGAGAGATGAGAGAGAGAGAGAGAGAGAGAGAGAGAAGTAAACAATCTCAGAGGTTATCAAAAGCCTCTTTGCGTCCCCTTTACAGATTCAATCTTCTAGTATAACATTCAAATAGCTCTATAATTAAATAGCTTCCTCGTTTTCATATTTAGGTCTCCAGAAATCATATTTACACTGTCTTTCACATAGGTATTTCCAAATTTGTATTTTTTCCTTTCGTCAGCAGGTGGCACTCTGCACTTAAATTTCAATTTACTAGTCAATCTTCATTTGATTGTAAAACAGTTTTAAAAGCAGAATAGGTTTTGTAGATTAAATAATTCCAGCATTTTCAAATTCAAGTGAAAAAGCAATGCTGATTTTTTAAATCCATAGTTCCAGTATTTTAGAATGCCTGTGTTTTTAAAGAATAGTTTCCTCTCTCTTTAAATCTCCTCCTTCCAATTGCTAATCACTTTCCAAAGTACTTGTTCACCATTTATCAGATAGATCTAAGTTAATAGTTCCTCCCCATTTCTCTGGGGTTAAAATTTGAAATAGAAAGAATTATTCTCACCCAGTTCACACACTGTTCACCAATGTCCACTCCTGCACTGTGCTTATGTGGACATCTGCTATCCCAGCTTTGTGGCAGCCATCTTAGGCTGTCTCTTCTTCCCATCGTGGCATAGAGGGAGAAAAGAAAAGCCCTGGATTTCGGCAGAAGAGTTGCATTCTTTCCTGCAACCTCACAGGGCGCCCCTCCTTAGCTTCGCTGCCCCCACAAGGCAGCTTTGGTTCAGAGCCCACTAACAGGGAGAAGCCAGCACAGGAATGGAGAGCTTGTGACTGGTATCGTGGGAAGTTCCACCCTTCTCAAGAATAGTAAAAACTTTTGAGGGATGAATTATGGGTTTAAATCCAAACACCTCTCTGATTTTAAAATTACAACCTTAAACATTTTATTTTCATCCTAGGAAGATGATAAGAGTTTAGGGGCTGACTTTGAGACCAGAACTGTAGTCATGTATAGCCATGTTTCTTTGTCCCCTTCTTCAAGAGACAAGGTGACGTTAGGTAAGAGAAAGGAAGCTAAGCTGTTGAGCGGCCACTGCTCTCAGAAACTACTCTGAGAAACGAACAAACATGGATCTGTAAAGGCAAACTATGAGCAAGGGTTTCATCATTATTGTTTGAACTTCTTTGCCTCTTTCCTTTATGAAACTGTTCTTTTTAATCGTCTTTTTTTTAAAACAGGGGACCATTATCATCCCAGATTTGCGCTCTGTTCTTCTTGATCCTGAGCAATGGGAGACACCTGAAGAATTCAATCCAAATCATTTTTTAGATAAGGATGGGAAGTTCATTGAACGGGAAGAGTTTCTGCCCTTCGGAATAGGTAAATCCTTGAGCCCAAAGCAGCTCACTTCTTATTTCATTTAGTTTTATATTAAATTTATATTCTACGCATCTCCTTAGCAAGGGATTCTGGGCATCTTACAATTTACGGATTCCCACCACCACATCACCTGAGTTGTTGTGTTCATGCTCTGAGTATGAAATCAAGGAATCCTTATTTCTTCTAGTAGTTGGGGCAGATCCATGGTAAACGTGACATCTTGAACTAATCCGGAACTGACAAGATTAGCATGAATATTTAAGTCCCTAGGCAAAAAATGGTCAAATGCAGTCCAATTACTCTGAGGAGGACAGGAGGAAAGGCTGTTTTAATAAGTATTATTATCACATTCGTCCAGACAGCCAGATGGAGCAAGCAAAGAATAAGAAGAATAGGTGTGTGTTCAGTGAAAAGGGAATTTCTATAGATTATGTCCATACCTCCTTCCTCTACTCCAGCTGTAGCCTGATGCACCGTAAAAGACGTTGCTGGACAGAAGGTGAGAAAGTGACTTCCCTCTTGTACGCCAATCTCTGGAAAAATATGCCAGATCAGGTTTTTCATGGATGCATAGCTTTACCTTTGAAATGGTACACCATCTACTGTGTTTTCCCAAAAATAAGACCCTGTCTTATATTTGTTTTGAACCCTGAAATAAGCGCTTGGCCTTGTTGCCATGCGCTCAAAAGCCCGATTGGGCTTATTATCAGAGGATGTCTTATTTTGGGGGAAACATGGTAGTACAACCTGAGTTAAAGTCACCCCTCTGATAGGTATCAACAGAGTTAAATGGGAGAAAACATCACTAAGAATGGAATCTGCTGGAAGATACAAGGATTCAGCATGGAAATCTATTTTGGCTGTTACCAAATGTTTCAGATTTCCGTGCTGATGGGGTACACTCTGATTATTATCTGCTTCATCCATGCTTTGTCTTCTCTACAGGTCTACGTGCCTGTGTTGGACAGCAGCTGGCAAGACTTGAGATCTTCATCCTTCTGACCAGCCTGTTGAGGGCCTTCAGCTTCCGGTTGCCTGAAGGAGTGAAAGAACTCAATGAAGAACCTGTTACAAAGACAACAATGCACCCATACCCTTACAAACTGTGTGCTATTCCCACACAGGCTTAAACTTTAAAAACACCACAAACAGTTTAAACTGTTTCCTATATGCCTCTTCACTTAATTAATTCTTTTTCTTTCATTTATTGTACTTTAAAACTTTTAAAGCCTATTGCTGGGTTCATAAACTTATCTAACCATGTCAACCAGCAGGTCACATCTGAATGATATGCTAAGTAAGTATGTTACATTTTAGCTTAGTTTTCTTTTGGATGCCAATAAATGTCAGCTTTGGAAGCCATATTAGGCCGGAAGCTTCCATGCTGCCACATTCTCATGTGTGGGAAAGTAGGAGGGGGGATTTAGTAAAGGGGTTGTTTGTAGACATAATAGCATTCTTCCTGTCGGTCAAGGTCAGGCCGATCCTGCATCTGGAGAAGGAGTGGTCGGAGTGATGTCTCGAGATGGGACGGCGGTTGATTGGAGCATGTGATCGACTGAGGGGTGAGGGGATGGTTTTGGGGGTTTTGATTTACTGAGGGAAAAACCGGAACTCTCAGATTCGGGTTTTTCCAGATGTGCCAGTTTACCTATTCTAGTAAATAGAACTTTGAAAAATGCTTGCTTCCGCGTCTTTACTTGAAGTTGGGTTTTTTTTCTGGAATGCTGACAATAAACTCATTACTTTCCATTTAGTCCTTGAATCTTCCTTTTCACGCAGCCTCGTTCAGGCTGATCTGGCATTTAAGAACAGCAATCTAAACCCAGGCCAGGTCTACTTATCAGGTAAATGAGGTGAATGAAATGAAGGGGCAAAATATGAGACCAGTACTAAATACTGAGCTCACATTCCCCATGAGTGGTCACCATATTTCCAATTATCAGACACTCCAAATATACTCCAGATATACACTGCCCTGCCCTGATTTCCCTGCCAGCCATTCCATCCCTACTATTTATTGATCTAAAAGCAAGTGTTGCGCAGGTCACGTAGGCAGATGCAGGCACCAATAAAGTCTTTTATTGCCTTACTATACCACAACAGATGAGCCTGAAATGTCTGCCAAAGCTCCACCCCCAATTTCCCCAAAGGCATCCACCCTCAGTCAATGCAACCTTCCCCACAGACTAGATCCAATAGTCACCAGAGCCGATTCACAAGGCAAGGAGGAAGTCTGTAGTCCTTATACAAGGTTCAAAGCCCACAAGGCGAGGTCCATAGTCCACAAACAAGGTTCAGAAGCTACAGGACAGAAAGACGATCCAAAGTCAAAAAAGCAGAGTTCACAAAAGCCAGGGAAGTGTGTGCCGAAACAAACAATTGTTCCTGATCAATCCTTCAGAATAGAGCTGGAAGGGACCTTGGAGGTCTTCTAGTCCAGCCTCCTATGCCATTTCAGAGAAGTGACTGTCCAGTCTCTTCTTAAAAACCTCCAGTGATGAAACACCCACAACGTCTGAAGGCAAGCTGTTCCATTGGTTAATGGTTAGGAAATTTCTCTCCAATTCTAGGTTGGTTCTTCTCTCCTTGGTTAGTTTCCATCCATTGTTTCTTGTCCTGCCCTCTGGTGCTTTGGAAAATAAATGGACCCCCTCCTCTTTGTGGCAGCCTCTCAAATACTGGAAGATTGCTATCATGTCCCCAGTAGTCTTTCTTCTCTCTAGATTAGCCAAACCCAAATCCTCCAACCATTCTTCGTATGTTTTATTCTCCAGGCTAGTGGTGAAATCTAAAATTTGTTACTACTGGTTCTGTGGGCGTGGCTTGGTGGAGGGGGGGTAATGTGACTGGGTGGGCATGGCCAATTTTTTTTTAACTTTTAAAACCATTTTTTCTACAACCTCTTCGACGAAGAGGTTGTAAAAAAATGCTTTCAAAGGCTCTGATGATCCCAGCTGAGTTGCCTGATCGTCAGAGGGTTTTAAAAAACCCTCTGCCGATCAGGCAACTCAGCTGGGATCATCAGAGCTTGGATCGTCAGAGCCATTTAAAAGAAAAAAAGCCTCTGATGATCGCGCGGCTCAGCTGGCATGGCGGGGGAGCAGGGATTTTTGCTACTGGTTCTCCGAACCACCCACCTCCATTGCTACCAGATCGGGTGATCCGGTCTGAACCGGGAGCATTTCACCCCTGCTCCAGGCCCCTAATCATTTTAGTTGCTCTTCTTTGCACTTTTTCCAAAATCTCAACAACTTTTTTGTAATGCGGTGAACTGGATGTGGCATTCCAGATGTGGCCTTATGAAGGCTTTATAAAGCTGTCCTAATACTTCATGTGATTTGGATTCTATACCTCTGTATAGGATTGTATTAGCTTTTTTGGCGGCGGCTGCACACTGCTGACTCATGTTTAAATGATCGTCCACTAAGACTCCTAGTTACTCTCACAGTTATTGTTTTGGTGCCAGGATTCACCTAATCTATACTTGTATTTTTGGTTTTTTTCTGCCCAGGTGTAAAACTTTGCTTTTCTCACCTTAAATTTCATTTTGTTGGATAGGGCCCATTGTTCAAGTCTGTCAAGATCTTTTTGGATCCTGAGCTTGACCTCTGGATTGTTGGCTGAAACTGCCAGTTTAGTGTCATCTGAAAATTTGATGAGTTCACCTTCTATTCCCTCATCTAAGTCATTTATGAAGATATTGAAGAGAACTGGGCCGAAGAAAAAACCTTGTGGTACCCCACTGCTTAGTTCCAGTGGTGGGTTTCAAATTTTTTTACTACCAGTTCTGTGGATGTAACTTGGTGGGCGTGGCATGGCTTGGTGGGTGTGGCTTGATAGACATGGCAGGAGAAGGATACTGCAAAATCCCCATTTCCTCCTGATCAGCTGGGACTTGGGAGGCAGAGAATAGATGGGGGCGGGGCCAGTCAGAATTTTTACTACTGGTTCTCTGAACTACTCAAAATTTCCACTACCGGTTCTCCAGAACCTGATGGGATATGTGGATGACATTGGAGTCCTTCAAATAAACCCAGACACATGCCATGCAAGTTTTATAGATCATCACCAGTAATTTCAATCACACTCAGAAGCAAACTGATAATCAATTAAGCTCACGGAGTGGAGGTGTAATGGGTGCAGATATAGATCCAGATATATTTGGCATGTGCGCCATGCCAAATGTGCACTGCATGTGCATGCATAGTACTCACCAAAAGGAGGCTTGGGAAGGTAAGGTGGGGGGGGGGGAATCAGCTATGCAGCAGTTTAGCTTTGCTAGAAAGCAGTATTTCCTGCTTTCTAGCAAAACTAAACCCCGCTGAACAGCTGATCATTGGAAATACCAGTTCGGAGGAACCCGTAGCTTTTTTAAACTACCAGTTTAACCAAACCGGTAGCTAACTACCAGTTCACCTGAACTGGTAGCTTGTTGTTCCGCCAGGCCGGGCTATCAATATAATAATTTTAAATTGGGGTATTTTAAATTTCTGGGGTTTTAAATTGAGCCGAATGTATTTAATAATTTTTAATTTTTAATTGATGTTTGTCTTGTGTTTTTAAATAGGCTGTACACTGCCCTGAGTCCTTCGGGAGAAGGGCGGTATAGAAATAAAATTATACTTATACTTATACTTATACTTATAGCTTTTTATCACTATTGGTTCGCCCTAACCAGTAGTTTTTATCACTATTGGTTCGCCCAAACTGGAGTCAACCGGTAGCATTTCACCTCTGGTGCAGATGTAAATGCTGATGTTGCTCCATTTTATTTATTTATTTTTATTTTATTTATATTTTGTATTTCTAGACCAGGGGTGTCAAACTCGATTTCATTTGAGGGCCACATCAGAGTTGTCTTTGACCACTCACCTCCCTCAAAGAGAGACTCTACTATAGCAATTGAAGTTTCCAAACATTTGCAAGGGCTTCTGGTTGATCGTGGTGTGGCAATGATATTTGCATGGGATGGATCTTATGCTTAATGTGCTAATGACATGACAGTTCATTGCATTAAGAATACAAATATTCTCTTCTATCAATAAACACTTTTTGATTAGCGGGACTCAGAGGCTGTTTTATATGAGATGGCTCCCAGGGGATTTCATTCTAAATGTTGATATGATTTCTGTAAATAGGGAATATAGAATTATAATGGCTGAGTATTTGATCCTTCATACATCAAAAAAATACAAAGCTAAGGAATACACAAATAACAAAACAGATTTGAAAAAAGAAAAGGCTCAGGAAAGAAGAAGAATGAAAGCATAAGAAAGAGGAAAAGAAGGAAAATCGAAAAAGAATGACTTCCAACTTCCTTTGGTACAGATATAAGTAAAAAATATATCAAACTCTCACTCTAAGATTAACATTTGTCTACATTAAAGCCCAGATCAACTTTTAATTTCAGTTTCTCACAAAAAGTCCAGTAATGGTTCATATTGCTTTAATCCCTATTTATTTAATTTTTTAAGTGTTTTTAAGTGTTTTGTTTATTGTTTTTAATTAATGGGGCCAAATTTATATATATATATTTTAACTGTATTTTAATATTTGTACTTGATGTTTTTACTTGGCTGTTCACCGCCCTGAGTCCTCAGGGAGAAGGGCGGTATACAAATTCAAAATAAAATAAAATAAAATAAATTATTTATTATTTATTTATTTATTAAATTTATATCCCGCCCTTCTCCCCGAAGGGACTCAGGGCGGTGAACAGCCGAGAATTAAAACAACATGCAATATAAAAGTTAAAATAATTAAAAATAAATTAAATTAAACGGCCGCTCCAATTTAAAACCCTTAGCAATACAATTAAATTGTATTGTATTGTATTGTAATACAAAACACAATACAAAATTGTATTGCAATACAATTAATTATTTGTTAAGGAAACCACAACTGATTTATTTAATTGCACCAAACTGTAAATAAAACAGGAATGGAAAATCCTAAAATCTAGTGTAGATCCATGCTTCTCATCTTTGGCAATTTTAAGGTGCATGGACTTCAATTCCCAGAATTCCCAAGGCAGCATGAAGTTTGCCCATCTTACACGTGCCAAGACTGAAAATCGCCAATGTAGAGATAGGGATTTTTCCATTCCATTTTACTGGTTCTTACTTACTTATAAGCAATCATAATGCAAAATCCCACCCCATCCCATCCCAGAATAAAGATATTGCAAAATCCTCACTTCCACCCCATCCCAGAGCAAAGATAATCCAAATCCTCACTTCCACCACATTCCAGAGCAAAGATAATGCAAAATCCTCACTTCCACCCCATCCCAGAGAAGATAATGCAAAATCCTCACTTCCACCCATCCCAGAGCAAAGATACTGCAAAATCCTCACTTTCCACCCCATCCCAGAGCAAAGATAATGCAAAATCCTCACTTCCACCTCATCCCAAAGCAAAGATAATGCAAAATCCTCACTTCCACCCCATCCCAGAACAAAGATAATGCAAAATCCTCACTTCCACCCCATCCCAGAGCAAATATAATGCAAAATCCTCACTTCCACCACATTCCAGAACAACCCCCATTCCCTCACTAACC